TTTTTATTTTAATTTTAGCGCCCTATAGTGCTACTTTTAGTATTAAAAAAAAATTTAAATAAATAATAGCATGCTATGTTATTTTTACTATACTAGTATAAAAAGTACTAAGCTTATAATAATATAGTACTTTACCCAAGCACTTAGCTATAAACTTAATAACCTTTTTTACTTATAATATAAAAATAATACTTTTATAAAACTAGGAAGTTACTATAATTATTATAAATATTTTAAATACCTTTAATACTATTTTATTATAATACCTACTTTAATAAATAATAAAATAAGGCTAGTCTCGCGCGCTTTTAGCCCTAATTATAAGTTTTTTTAATAAATAAAATATAAAAATATACCTAAAATTTATTATAATAATAACATACCTAGTATATTATAATATATTACAAGGCTTGCCCCTTTTTTTAATACTATTTTTATTATATATTATTAAGCTATTACTAGTAAACCTAATTTTATGCTTTAGCTATATAAATAACTTTTATTTTAGCTATATAAGCAACTCCCTTTATATAAACTATAAACTTTTAATAAAAAATATTTATAGTATACTAGCCTAAAAAAAATAAAATAAGGTAGTTTTTATGCCTAAAAAATTAAAAATATTATATATTATTTAAAAGTGGCATGGTAAATTACCCTTGCTAGTAGTTAATAACTAGCTAATAATTATTTTTATTATTATAATATTAGGTTAAAAGCAGCCCATGCTATACTAGCTAAATATTTTTTTTAATAAATAGCTTTTTTAATACTAGTATATTATTAAATAAGTAGTTAAAGCCTAAATAATAGCTTAATATATTTATAATTTAATATATATAATATATAGCCTGCTTATAAACTTTTTTTATAAAGTAGTTATTACTTATATTATTTTTAGCTTATTATATAATATAAAAACATGGTATAATAGTAAAATTAAACTTAAAAAGTATATATAAAACCTAAAAATTAGCACCTAGCTAGGCTAGTATATAAAAGTTATTAAAAAAACTTTAATACTAGCCGCTCGCGGTATACTCCTAGTTTTTTAAATAATATTTATAATAACTTTTTTTAAAAATACTAGGCTTTTTTCCATGGTAGTAATATTAAAAAAAGTGTAATTATATTTTATTTTAAGACTAAGGCTAGTTAATAACTAAAACCTACTAGTAGTATAAGTAATATTATTAAAAATCTTATATAATTAAGGCGCTAGTTTATACTAAAAACCTAAAATAAAAATATAAATAATAAAAGCGCTTTTTTTAAAAACTCCTAAGCTAGTTTTAATATATTCTTATTACTTTTAAAAATGCCTAAAAAATCTTACTAGTAATAAGGCCAAGAAGCTAGCTATAAAAAAGTTTAAATAATAATAATAAGTATTACTAATAATAAAAATAGTAATTTTTAATAATAATTTTAAATAAATATATTAAAAGGTTTACTATATAGGCTATAGCTTTATAATATATTATAAATAATACCTTTAAGTATAAGGGCTATTAGTAATTAGTACCTAGTTTTATATATATAATATTAAAGTTATTAATATACTTTAAAAATTAAAAGTTATAATTAAAAAGCTTTTAGGAGTACCCTACTACTAGCTTTATATTAATAATATTTTAATAATTTAATACACGCGCGGGCAGCCCTTGCTATTTTTAAATTAAGCCTTTTAAATATTATACTAGCTTATAAATTAATATATAATTTACTTATAATAATTTTTTAAATATATAAATATTAAAAATAATAAGCTAGTTAATAAGCTAGCTAATAAAATAGTTTTTATAAAAGTATAACTTTTAAATATTAACTTTTTTAAGGCGCAGCCTACCGCAAGCAGGATATATAGCTTATATAAATAAATATATTAAATTACTTAAGCTAAATAATAAAAAAATACCTTTATAAAATTATTAACCTAGTATAAGTAATAACTTATAAAATTAAAACCTTATTAGGTTAAATTATAGCTTAAGTTTATATTAAAATATTTAATTTTATATTACTAGCTAGTACTTAAGTTTTTATATAAAAACTTTAAGTAATATTATAAATACTTTTAGTATAAAAATATTAGGCTTACTTATTTTTATAAAAAAAATAAAAGCCTTAAATACCTAGTTTTTTATTATTACTTTAGGTAATAATTTTAATAATAATCCTAGCGTCTTATAATATTATTAATAATTAAGGCTAAGGCCTTAAAATATCTTTATAAATTAAAGCCTAAGGGCTTTATATTTTTACTTAAAATTATAAATTTTTATAAGTTTATTTACTTATGCTAGGGCTTCCCGCGCCCTAATAATTTTTATATTAAAATTATTTAACTTAATATTAAATAATTTTTTTTTTTTTTTATATTATACTTTTTTTTTTTTATTTTAAATACCTTTTTTTAATATAACTAGTTTACCTAATATATTTTTTTAATATAAAGGCTAGACCCTATAAAATACTATAATTAAACTTTTAAGTATATAATAAATAATACTTACTAATAATTATATATTAAAATAATAAATAAAAAATAGGCGCCTGGCCCACAAGCTTTAATAAAAATTATTTTTTAAAATAAAAAGCCTTTTTATATATAAACTTATTTAAATAAGCTACTTACCTAGTAATAGCACGCCCCTATACCCTAAGAAAGGTCTAGAACATTAGGCGTACGCCTAGTGATCCCCGGGGCGGTAAATATCACTACTACTACTACTACTATCCCACCCCAACTTTCCCTTTAATTACGGGGGCGGAAGATGCGAGTCTAATTTAATACAGGCGGACTCTTCTAACACAGGGTGCTTCCTCACTAGCTCCCGGTAGACAAGAGGGGAGAGGTTAATAAAGATCTTGTTAATACTAGCCCTCTTAATTAACGGCGGCGGAGTCAGAAGCAATGCCCGGACAAGGGCCATAGTCTGGCGGGCCTCGAGCTAATACGGATCCAACGCAGCCTTATTGGTTTTCATTCTATACAAAACGTCCAATCAGTAGGCCCAGGTGGGGGATCCTTCACACCAGGTGGCGACATGCTGCAGGACAATATCAGGGCACTTTGCCTTAACCTTGTCCACGGACATGCCTTAACGCAAGCCATGTTCCCGTGCAGGGTAGTTAAGCGCGATAATTACATTCTACTACTAAACTACAAGGGGGACTATCAGTGGCAGACCAAGGCAAACGCCCTTACACTAGGCGTAGAATACATCGTAGTCAACCAGGGTGATCACCCGTAGCAGGCTCTTGGGTAAGCCTTGTTACAGGAGGCGAAGATAGCGGTAGGTATAGCAAGACTTTTTATAAGACATGGCGTCGGCGTTGCAAGGACATTAATATAGCAGATAACTGAAGGTGCCTTTATGACAGGTAATGCAGGTGGTTTGTGCGCATCTTCGAATAACGCCAGATCCGCGACCCACAGACCATTGCACGATGGATAGATCGGCCGTTAATAATTGGTGGGATGCAATTTAAGGTTTTATGCTTTGATCCAACCATATGGGGCTGTACGTCATTAGCATTTGGGTTGAAGCCTGTAAGATTAAGAATAGATAGTTAAACCCAAGCTTGCACCCTCGTCCAGACCATGGCCCCTGTTCTTCGTCAACACGCTTAACAAGCAACTCCAAGCAAGCCAATCGCAGTCAAACCATCACCAGCGCCATCCTCACACCACGCGTCCCAGAAAGATGGACTCAATACCATTGCTACGCCTCAAAGTCTCCCTATCCCAACTTCCCATCTCCCTCCGCTAAAGCCTGTTCGCGTGCCAACCACATTCTCACCAAGCTGCACGGCCCCTGGGATCCCCTTTCCAGCAACGCAATAAACACTAACAACGTTGCCCGCCCCAGCAGCTTTCCCAACGTCCTGCACGGTCTAATCTACGGGGTCCTTTGCTAAGCCACAAACAAGCAAAACGTAATCCGGCAAGTCGACAGTCTGACCAGGACGTACGGATCCTGGACGAACTTCGCCGCGATCGCCAGGGGCGGCGAGTCCAAGCTGAAAGACGCCCTGGCATGCGGCAGCCTCCACGAGCGGATATCCCGCATGATCATCAAGATCCTGGCGCAGGTGAAGAAGGCCCACGCAAAGTACACTCTGAACCATCTGTTCCGCGCCACGGACGCAGAGGCCATGAAGGAGCTTCTCTCGTATTACGGGGTTGGGCCGAAGACGGCGAGTTGCGTGCTGGCTTTGACGCTGCAGCGGCAGCGGTTCGTGGTTGATACGCATATTTATCGACTTACCGGGGATCTGGGGTGGAGGCCGTCCGGTGCATCGGCGGAGCTCGCCCGCGCGCATCTGGAGCACAGGATTCCGGATCACTTCAAGTATTCCTTGCATTTGCTATTCATCACGCATGGGAGGGAGTGTCCGCGCTGTCGTGCTGGGGGGGACCGTGGCTATGACTGTGAGCTCATGCGTGGACTACAAGAGTAGCTGGAACGGACCTCGGCCTCTGATGAGTTTCTGGTGCAGAATTGCATGATATATTGGTGTCGATGGGATTGAGAGGCCTGCTTCTTAATAGGTGTAAATATACCACAACCAAACTCCAGTTGGTTGATATGAAGCACGTATTTATCCTAGGTCTCCTGCGTCTGTAAAGAATATAGTAAAGAAAGTTCAAGAACGGTTAAGATACCCAGGGAATGCATATCTTTCCAACACCAGATTGTCAAACTTGATTGGTCTAAAGTCCAGGCAAAGCGTCGGCCTGATCAGGTTCCAGGTTCCCACCGGCACAATCCCTTACGTACAATTAACCGTTCGGTCCCCTAAACGTCCAAATCTCTCGGGAGAATCGGCAAAACACCGGCATTCTCATACGCACGCATGGTGTTGATCCAGGACTGGTACGTGTCTTCGCTATGCCCCCAGCCAAACTGGCGCGCCTTGACGACGGTGCTCATAAACGGCGCCATGTTCGCCGCGGGCGTGATATACCAGTTCATCAGGCGGAAGGCATCAAGCTAGAACGCCTCCGGGTCGCCGCCATACCTGGCGACAATACGCTCCCAGACGGCCTTCTTGTCCTGCGCCCACTCGCCGAGCTCAAACGCCTGGGTTGCTGGCGTCGGGGCCTCGAACTTGTCCATCGGGACCCGGAAGTACCGCGCCAGCAAATGCCACAGGAACTTCCACACGATCACGTCGCCGTCGTCGTGGTTAAAGGCTTCGTCCTTGCAGTGGGCTTGGGTTGCGGCCCAGATAGTCAGGTTGGCGATCCCCGGGGCGGACGACTGCTTCTCGACGCGGTGGTAGCTTTCCAGTGTGCCCGGCCAGCGGGGGGCCTCGTTGAGCTCCCGACAGATGAGGAAGTATTGAGCTAGGGGGAGGGTTTCGTTGATTGCCAGGTCTGCGATGGTTAGGATGGTAGTCTGGGAAGGGGTGGATGGGGCTGCGCACATTGGCAGCTGTAGCCGATGATGGCCATGGGGCGGATGACGTTGTAGCTCCAGGAGTTGCGGCGCTTCTGGACGGCAAACAGGTCGTCTTCCTGTTCGTAGTAGAAGATGTTCTCGGGGCCCTCGTAGCGAGGCATGTCTTCCAGGAAGGGGGTGGTAATGTCCCTGTATTGGAAGCCGTAGTGCTGCCGGCAGTCGGAGTCAGCATGGGATTGTCCAGGTTGCCCACGTAGGAGTGAAACGTGCTTACCTTGCCTCCGGTTTGCAAGACGACGCGCTGCAGGTTGGGACAGGCTAGGTCCACTGCTTCAAGGAAGTTCCGGAACAGGGGGCCGTTCTTCTCGTGGAGTTTTGAAAAGTCATTGTTGTGGATGTAGGATGTGAAGAAAGCATGGGTCACGCCCGCGCACAATCCCTTAATCTTCTCGACGATGGCCTCGGCTGGCTCGAGGAGGTCGATGGCGATGAAGCGCACCCTCGGGTCAGTGTAGACGGTCTTGATCGGGCTTCTTGATGTGATGACGATCTCCGACCTAGGGTTGGTCGGGTGAGATGGTGTACCGAGAGGAAGGGTATTGGGTACAGCGTGACGTACCACTCGCTGGCCGGCTGCTTGACCAGATGATCGACAATGGCACTGCCACTGATGCCGTTGGCACCGGCAACAAAGGCGACTTTGCTGTTGGCAGCGCGAATGCCGTAGATGTTGCTCATGGTGATTCCGGTGGATGTCTCAACGCCCTGAGTGGAAGTCCGGCAGCTTTTATAGCCCGTGCTCATCCCCTTTGGCGGGTGTCTGCAGAGACTGCCGAGACATTCCTCTGCCGCAGGAGTCACAGCAGGTCCCACTGCACACAGTAGTGTAGTCTTGGTCGCGTGTTGTTGCCATGGCAGACCCACTGGAGCCCACCGTGGCTCCGCTCTCCAGACGAAGAGAGTGGGCCAGGAACATTGAGGGGGCGACTGGCAATTCCCTTAACTTCTCAACGGCTCCCACTTTTTGGGGCTTCACGGCCTCACAACTCACAACTCGACTGCCCCGGCCTTCCTCACTGCAGGTCACATGACTGACTCTATATCCAACCACCATGAGGCAGTTATTGGAAGATAAACATATCGTCTTGCTACTTAACATGGCATACGTCGTCTTATGGCATAGCTCAGGCACCGAGATGATGTCAAGGTAGTTATGTTCACCAAGAAAGAGGTTATCGTGACGACAATAAGATATCATTATAGATAATCGCTGTTTACGAAAGAATAACAGACACCGTCACATTTACTATCAACATCAACATCGTGAAGATAGAACTCGAGTAGAATCTCTGCCTCTGATCGAACGACCAACACCATACATCATACAGCCGTCAAACACACTACAACGAAATGGCCGACTACCTTCGCAGGCTCCATCCGCCCCATAACCGGCGCAAACTGCGCACCACTCGTCGCCACATACAGCACCGACCGCTCCTGGTCAACAGCAGCAGCCGTCGATCCGCCAACCGCCAGCATAAACTGGCTGCCCGCGAGCAGCCGAACCCGTCCCTCCGGCGAAACCTCAATCACCTCGGTCTGCGGATTCGTGGTCAGATACGCCGTGCCGTCCGGCATGAGCGCAAACCCATCGAAAAACAACCCGCTGGCGATCATCTCGACCGGCCCCGTGGGCCTCGCGTTGCCGTCAACAGGAAACCGCCCATATACCTCCTGGCTGGAACTCGTGTAGTACACGTAATTCCCTAGCACCCGTATCCTGTTGACCCCCACCTTGACCGGGGCGGCTGTCCGGCGGCTGGGACCATGGAGGGATGGGACAGCATCACGCAGGATTCGCCGCTCGTCATGTTCAGCCGCCAGATTGCGCCCTGGGATGCATCCGTGAGCAGCAGGAGGTCGTCGCCGAATTTGGCCATCCCGTCTAGGAAGTCCGCGGCTGGCATGTGTGCGAGGACCTGGGTTGAGGGGACGGTGCCGGTGAGGTTGACGGTCCAGACGGCGAAGGAGCCCGGGGTCGGCGTGACGCTGGGGAGGGAGAGGTTGCCCGCGACAACGGCAAACACGTCACGGGCTAGCTCGGTGATGCCCAGCGTGCTCATGGCGTTGGGGAAGGTGGTGAGGAGGGCGCCACGGCCTGGACGGCTGGTGTTGGTGTTTGGCTCGATCGACCAGAGCTCCGGGGCGTCAATCCGAGTAGCGAGGAGGGTGCCGTCGGACCGCACGGCGAGGTTCTCGAACCAGGTGCCATTGCTCTCCAGCTGGAAGACGGTGGAGGCTGGCTTGGACTGGAGGCCTCGAGGGTAAGAGGGTAAGGCCAGGGCCGTTTGGAGGAGGATTCCAGCTGTACATGTAAAAACGGAAAATTGCATTTTGCTGGATGTAAGGGAACAACTCGGATACAGAGCTAGTGCAATAAGCAGAATGGTATTGCCTTTATAAGCCTTATAAGCCCGCCCTCAAGCCAGTGAGCGCGGCATGGCCAGGGAACCCTGGCAGGGACGGGCCTCTGTCTCCTTCGGCCAGGGTGTGGCGTCATGTTATCGGGGCACAGGGAGTGTCCAGGCCCGGGGTGAGTGGGCCTTTGTTCAAGGCCATGATCGGCTAACCCGGGAATTGATGCCTGCCTCTTTATCCATCGCGGTGAGTCCTCGACGTGAAATGCCCTGAGTCGGCGGGACTGCCATGTCGGATATCTCGGTATGATATGAAACATTATGCCACTTTGCCTTTTAATGCATCCGTACCTGCTCACAACACTGTTCTATTTAAGTCTGCACTGGGGGAGATGCATCCTACCTGGCTATGTGCGAGAAAAGGCCAGCGGCATGCAGCCATCGCGCCTTGACGAAAAGGGCTTGACGGTTGATCTGCCCACCCCGAGTTCCTCCACGTCCGAATCACGGCACACACAGTCCCTCGGTTGCTCCGACGACGTGGAAGCCGGCTTGCCCTCGGTCGCAGCAGCTCAAGGCATGTCATTTGGGCAAGGCAGGCCGCTTCCGCCGCCGCTCCCAGCCCGCGAGGACTATGTCGTCGACTTTGACGGCCCCGACGACCCGTCCTTTGCCCAGAACTGGCCGTTGAGAACCAGGTAGAGAAGCCCTCGTCCTCCTCCAGCGTCGCGATGCAACTGGCTGACTGCTCAGGCTCTACATCAGTGCCATGCTTGCATTCACCTGCATCAGCTCGACCTTCGATTCCGCCGTCTTCAGCCCATCCACGGGCCAGGTGGCCAGACACTTTGGTGTCAGTGTCGAAGTGGCATCCCTGGCCAGCTCCCTCTACATCGCCGGCTACGCGTTCGGCCCCTTGGTATGGGCGCCTCTCTCCGAGCGCCACGGCCGTCGTCTTCCAATCGTCCTCGCCATGCTGGGCTTCGGCATCTTCAATACCGCCGTCGCCGTGTCCAAAGACCTCCAAACCTTGATGATCTGTCGCTTTTTCTGCGGCGTGTTCGGCAGCAGTCCGCTCATCAACGTTGCTGCCATCTTCGCCGACATGTACGACAACCGGACGCGCGGCATCGCCATCGCCCTGTTCTCCAACACCGTCTTCCTGGGCCCGCTGATTGCATCCAGTGTCGGCGGGTTCATCGACAAGTCGTATCTCGGCTGGCGCTGGACCGCCTACACCCCCTCGTTCATGGGCTATGCAACCTGCGTGCTCAACCTGCTGTTCCTCAAGGAGACCTACGCGCCCGTGATTCTGGTCTCAAAGGCCATGGAGCTGCGCCGCACCACCGGCAACTGGGGCATCCACGCCAGGCAGGAGCAGATCGAACTCAACCTGCACGATCTGGTCGTCAACAACATGGGCCGCCCCCTCCAAATGCTCTTCAAAGAGCCCCTGATCCTGGCAGTCACAGTGTACCTCAGCTTTGTGTACGGCCTGCTCTACTGCTTTCTCTCCGCCTACACCAGCATCTTCCACGGCGTGTACACCATGTCCCCTGGCGTCAGCGGGCTTCCAATGCTCGGTATCGTCGTGGGCCTCCTCGCCGCAACAGTCTACATGCTCCACGCAAACAAGACCTACAACGCAAAGCTCAAGGCCAACAGCAACATCCCCATCCCCGAATGGCGCCTCCCGCCCGCCATCGTCGGCGGCGTCCTCTTCTCCGCCGGCCTGTTCTGGCTCGGCTGGACCGGCTTCACGCCCTCCATCCACTGGATCGCCCCGACCCTGAGCGGCCTGTTCACGGGTGCCGGCTTGCTCATGATCTTCATCCAGCTGTTCAACTACCTGATTGATACATACCTTGCCTTGTAAGTCCCACGATTGATGGACCCGCCTCCTTCTTGATTCCCTTGCTGTCATATTCATTGTTGTTGTTTTGCATCATCTCTAACCTGCCGCAGCGCCGCGTCCGCGTTAGCAGCAAACACATTCGCCCGCTCGCTGGTCGCAGCGGGCTTTCCGCTCTTCTCGCGCCAGATGTTTGCGGGTATGGGAATCTAATGGGCTTGCACGCTGTTAGGGTGTGTTGCTGCCGCCTTGGTGCCAATCCCCTTGGCGTTTTACCTTTATGGCAAGCGTCTTTGTTTAAAAAGCCGGTTTGCCCCGGTCCTTGACAGGGAGTTGTAGACTCAGGACTTGCCTTGCTGTGGTTGACTTGTTGCTCTCGGGGGAAGAAGCTTTTTACTCATAAGAAGCCCGGGGCTCTATCCTTGGAACCAAGAACTTTGTCCATAATTAGGTATCTTTGTTCTTTCTTCCCTATCCCATTGGATCATGTCAATGTTGACTTATATATTGGATTGCTGGTGGCTTAGCTGGCCCTTGGCCCCGGGCTTCTCGTGTGTTGACCTAATATATGGTACTAATGCTCTTTATGGTAAAATAATGTAGTAGATATTATACATTATACCTTTGCCGCAATGCAAGCCGGTGTTAATATCATCTAACTTTGACTCCTGGCGTTCGGATTCCATTTCAAGTTCTTAGCATATGCATGAGGACGTGTATTGCAAGGGGCATTTAGAACAAACGTAAACCTACGCTATCCAGTCAGTAGGTTCACACACTCTCAGTTGCTAATGCAATGGTTCTGTACGACTCCAGCTTGGTCAAGTATGTTAAGTAATGAACCTTGGAATACATAACAAGTTCCCAATAGGTTGACTCTGGACTTACGCATATTTCCAAATTTGTATCCTCAGTTCAAACCATCCCCACAGTATTCGTATTACCATGATATTAATGAAAAAGAAAGCACCAGTACCTTAAAGGACGTCGGGAGTACAAAGAGCTCCGTGAGCTCAAAGGTAGATGTCTCAGGCATGTAGCGATGTGGAAGAGACTATCCCACGGTATACGCCTCCACCTCCCGCACGGGGGTCAATTGCAAGGAACGACTTGATGTGTGATGTACATCGTATAAGACGGGTATCGGCACTAGTGCATATGCAGGTGCCATTACTGCCAGACCGACACTTTTATTTATTTATTTTTTGGGAAATTCAGACCAGAGTCGGGACCTCAGGACCTTATAGCAGTAGGATATCAGGGAGAAAGCATAACTCCAAATGCATAGGAGTGCTTTGCCACATATGGGCCTTCCCGAGGGGAAACACGGTTCACCCAGTGGGCTCCTCAGGCCGACCTGCAGATTCAGAGACGATGATCTGCGGCATGGGGGTTGGGCCAGCCTTGGTATCGAAATCGAATCAAGGGCCCATGGCGAGCGAAGTGAATGAGGGCTATGCCCACGTTTAATGGCATGCTGCTGCAGGGAATGGGATGCGCCTGTTTAGTTTTGCCTTTGGTTACTAAGGTTTGCTATTCCATTGATAGTATGGTAGCTGGATGGATCCTTTTAGTTGGAAAACCTTGACTTGCCTTGCTGGACCAGGTTGTTTGGCCTTGCCTGATCGGATCGCACGGATGGTCGGGAGCTGCTGGAAATCACCGGGATCAGCATTCCACCCATCCATATGCATCGTCCGAAGCTGACGCATCCCATGGGAGCCAGGTCGAGCATCCCATTGCCGGGGAGTTCAATAGCCAGTTTGCTCCGACCGGGCATGGAATGCTTTTTTATCAACTTTGTTACAATACCCTCAGCATCAGGATGTTGGCACTGAATATCCCCTTCTTCGACCCCCCAGTCCAGATGCTGGTGGTCTATCTGGTCCTCCTCATCTTTTCACTGATCGTCAGTTCCCCCCGCCCATGTCTGAGGTCTCGACTTGCCGTGCCGCTCTGCTAAACCCGCGCAGTTCTTGGAACAAACGCTCTTCAACCCCCTCCGCCATCTCCCTGGGCCGTGGTATAGTTCCGTGACAGGCCTTGTGCTTCGCTTCCATGCGCTGAAGGGCTACCGGTCTCAATGGGTCGAGGAAGTACATAGGAGATATGGACCGGTGGTTCGCATCTCGCCAGACGAGGTAGATGTTTGTGACTAGGATTTTTGGGACGATGTGGACGAGCATCAAACGCCCAGGGACTGACGCACTTCGAAAGAACATGGTACGCACAGTTATACCATGTTTTACCCTGCATGTAGTTCTTGACCGGGGTCGATGCCCCCCTGCAACCAGCATCGCGCCTTCCCCATGGGTTTCACGGGGCCATCGGCGTTCATGCGTTCCCAACTGTCTACAACTGCGCAAAAACCTGGGATCTGTTCATTTACCGCTAGGAGGCGATAAGAGGAACTAGATCTACCTCTAATTCAATGCTGAAGAAACACAGCGAATGGCGTGGTATTCTCTCACGTGAAATCAGTACACCAAGTTCGTACTATGTTGCGCTAACACCCTGAGATACACGTTGTCCAAACAAAGCCACTTTTGCGCAATCAGGGGCGCATTGTTCGAAAGTCACGAGTACGCAACTAACGACCCAGCGGACTAGCCAGCGGAGAACTGATCACCTCACTCTGGTTGGCCAACACGGCGCAGTATAAATCATACGATTCCTCACCGTCCTTAAGCCGACACCAGATATCGAGTCCAGGGCATATTCTACCGACGGAAACGTGGGACCCAAGCGATTCTGGCAGCAGCGTCTTCCTCCACTCCGACGCTTGAGGGCGGAGTGAGCACGACAGTAGTGCCGTCATCACTTCTTGCCCCTAGCGAAGGTGATACCTTGTTCAACTCAGTTCCGGGCTGGGGCTTGAAGCCTTTATCTTCCTTGATGTTGTAGCCTGCCGCAAGCCGCGCATCCGCCAGTTTGTCCGTCAGAACAGATGCCATTACCCGCGCAAGGAAAGGCGCAAATTCCGTATCGAGCCCGAACACGGCCTGAAACCTGCTTGTCCGGAAAAGTGTCTCATTATCATCAAAGCTTTTCCTGAGTTCGTCGATGAGATGGTCTGCGAACCACTCGTGCTTGGAAATCCCGGGAAAGACCTCGGCCACGATCTCAATCATCCGAATAACAGGGATATCGTCGTCAAAACCCAGTAAAAGGCCCTTGGCAAGCTTAGCAAGGCCAGCCAGCTCGTACCTGACTGCGGCACTATAGACCCGAAGAACGATCATGTATTCGGTCTCCGTCTCGGAACTTGTCGGTGACTGCGCGTATTGCAGACTTTCAAAAACCTCTGTATGGAGATAATGGACAAGCGTGTGGCCGGCGTCCGGGTGCACATCTTTCAGCTCCAGTTCAAGTAGGAGACGTTCATAACCGTCTACTTCCGGAACAAATTCGTAGTAGTTGCATTTCAGAAGAGATGGGTGCCTCTCCACGATGGCCCTTGGGACGACGAAGCGGCGGGTTTCTGGATCTGCGCCGATGTTGATGGTCACTGCTTCGCTTTCGTACGGGCTTCTGTAGCAAGCCATAGTCAGCTGAAGCCTATTGCCACGGTCGGGGCAGATGAGTATAGTTGCAGAATGGGGTTGTCGTCATGAGCGACATACCTGGGCACATACTTGTTTCCTGGACCCTGAGCATCGGTCGGCTCCGTAGCTGCAGGCGGCTGGGCAACAGTGTCAACGTTGGCTTCGGACTCGCCAACGTTGGCTTCGGACTCGACATGAAGGTACTCATCCCATTGACGTATTGCCCTGTTAATAGCCGTAGATTTGCTGGCTTTAAAGAACTCCTTTATCTTTAAATATTCCTTGTATATTATTATAGGCTTATTCGCAAGCCTTTTATATTACCCACACTTTTTTAGGTGCTTTTTCCTTGGTGGTATTATTTGTTAACATACAAGAAGAGATTTAATATAAATTTCCTCCAGTGGTAAGGGACTGGATAGGGGTGAGTTTTATTAATAAAAGAAACTAGAAATAAAGTACCTGGGAGGTCGCGGGGTCCCTTAAGATACTATATTATATATAATTAAAACTTTATCCGCAGTGTTAACATAATAAGTAATAGCGCGTAATTTTTAGCTTATTTTACAGGTAAAAGTTAACGCATACTAAGCTGGTGATAAACTTGCCAAGTATAGTGGCGCCGTGGGACCTGAAACCTTGTTCATGGCCTTATAATTTATTCCAGTCTCTTATTGCGGTTTAAAAAACGGGTATACATGGCGGCCAAGCTACATCGGGTCTCACTGTATGATAGCAAGATATGGTGCCTTTAGAGGTCTAACTATAGCACACCTGGAGTTAACAAACGCTTGAACGCTGCGAGGAGGAGTCTCTGCCCTCAAACCGACAATTCTATCGTCCCCTGGACGTAAGGTTCTTCACCCCCGGCGGGTTCCTCACCAGTTGAACCTTGGCTAAGCACCAATGGTATCTCTTAAATATCAGGTACTTGTATCTTCCCACAAATAGAGGTTGCTGCTCTTAGTCTCACAAAGTGTTTCCAGACTCCTGATTCCATTGGAAGTCGAGGATTGCAGCCGCACGTTCCGCAGCGCATGAGACAATCATCTCCACTTGCCACAGATACTGCGGACATGTCCTGTTAGGAATCGGGCGTGATAGAGACGGGAGAACTTTGGATTTCTTTTTGTGACTCCATCGCTACGCGTGGACAACGTACCCGACGATCGGGTATTATCACGACTGCCCTAGGTTCTCGGTGTTGAAGGATCGTCTATCTTGCTGCACATTCTGCCCAGTACATCCGTTTCCTTTGGTATGGGTCAATAAGATCTTTTCACCTTGCTATCTAGGTCAGGGTGGGAGTGAGTGAACCGCCTTGTTGCAGTAGCCCTCAAACGCCCCGTCGATAACAGAACTCTGACGATGAGGAACAGATACTACAAGATGGAGCTGTTGACTTCGCTTAATTCTAGAACTCCTTTTCCTAAGACAAAGCTAACCCTCCTCCGAGTCTGATTGCAGGTGTCTCACTCAGCCGTACGGTATGAAAGATATGCAAGTAAAATCCAGCGGCCATGGCCGACATGGCAATAGGATGCACACGACCATGGTCAATGCTCGCTCTGCCAACCTTCTCCCTCAGCCACCTCATCGTCCTCCTCGCTCTCCTCGATGTCAGTCCCCTCGTCGTCAGGCTCCTCCGCCGCCCCAGCCAGCGCCACAAGCCGGTTCAAAACCCACTGCATTTCCAGCAAGTCGTAGGATGGAAGAGGGCATTTGTCCGGGTCCTCGGTCGTAAAGGTGATGACCTCACCGGATGTGATGCAGTGTTGATCCGCCGCGTTAAAGAGCCTACTCCCGTCGGAGGAGGCATCGAGGCCGACGGTGTTTGCTGGCGGGCGTCGAAGGTGTTTACGCCCCGTTCCGCCATCAACGAGTGGGAGCCAGTGAAATTCGACTTGCATGCTGTGCTCATCCCCGCCGGGCAGAGGCTTCAAAGCGAACTTGCCCTTCCCCCACAAGGCGTGCGTGTCCGGGGACATGGTCAGGTAGTTCTCAACGGTCTCGGCACGGTTCGGGCCTTGGATTGCGCTCTCCCACTTGGCTAGTTGGTCGTTGGGCCAGAAGTCGGCCAATGTCTGCCAGAAGACATCGTACTGGTCTTGACCGGCCATGCCCAAGGATGACGCGCAAATCTGCGCTCCCTGATTACCGGTCTTGAAATGCGTGATGACACAAGTTTGGCTGTCTCTTTTCTTTGCCTGCACTTGATGAGTGGCGTACCCCCTTGGGCATAAGTGATGAGCACTTACCTCATCGCTGATGGCAGGCGAGCGATTGTACTCGATGGGCTCCGGGGAGGGCGTCTCGGGCGTGGCGGGTGTTGCAGAACCGGGAGTAGTAGGGGTTGAGCGCAGGGATTTCTGCCCGCTTGTTGGGTCCGCGGGAGCGACATTCTTTCCCAGGCGAGGAGATTTGGAAGGGGCTGGGTTATCCAACGCTGGCACTGGTTCGCGCTTCTTGCTTTCGGCCTCTTTCCTCTTTCCGTCCCTTGTTGCGCGGCCCCTCGCCCCTAATCAGATGGCTGTCAGCTAGGGAGCAGGCTCTTGCTAATATTTAGGTATCAACGTACAGGTCCTCAAGATTTCAAAGTATGTAGTGCTCCTATTCTGATTGTTTCTTTGGTTGTGACTCATCGCTATTAGATCCTCGGCATAGGCCCTGACCGACTCCAGGTCTGCTAGCCACATGAACGCCCATAGGCCGGACGATGTCAGATCACTTTGAATACTTGGCGTTTTCTCGAAGGCTGTCGCTAGCTTTTTGATAATTTCGAGTCGGAGCTTGTCTTCTGTCTCCGGGTAGGCGCCCGAGGGCGGGGAAGGGTTGGGATTCTCCATCTTGAAGCTCAGGCTGTGTTACCTGTAGATTGGCGATGTGGAGAGTTTGCAGAGGATGGCGGCGATGACTCAATTTGGCAGAGGTCGGTTCCAAGGTTCAACTAGGAAGGCCCTTGCCTTACTGCATGAGTCACGCCGGCAGACAGAAGCCATGCTCCTGCACGTGAAGGATAAATAGTACTTGGACATGGTTCTGATTTCAAAAGCATCCAGGCGGGACGGTGGAATTGTTCTACGTTTCAAGAATGCAGTCCAAGTGATGACTGGCGTGACAGCCCTTTGAGCGCAAAGCATTATCCTAGCTTGATGGATTCTAGGAATATTTGGAAGATGGAGGATTCTTCCCGTCAGGAAGGCAAGGCCGCAGGTGTTGCAAACCATAAAAAGCGTGGAATCTCTTAAGGCCGGCTCAGCGGTCCTTTCACCTGCTTAGGGCCTGCATTAAGCTCTATCCTCTGATTTGCATTCACTAGGTGTATACTCGAGCTTGAACCTCATACGGAGTAGCTTGCCACGGAGCATGTTGTGCTCTGGATGCTGAATCAAAACAGTGCATTTCCAGCGGAAAAGGCAAGATGGCCGAGTGGTTAAGGCGATGCGCATAAGACCTAGGTTCTGCTTTTTTTGAAAAGGCCCGCATTCCCAAAAGGGGTCGCTCGTTTGAACCGCGCTCTTGCCATTTTGTTTTTAGGAATTCCAGTAACTTTCTTTGATAATCTTGTCACTCTGAAATGATTTGGAAGGAAAGATTACAAGAGAAAAGAGAGAAAAGATTCGGAGAAAAGGACAGCCAAGATTGGTGATCTTTATCTTTCGTCTCCTTAGAACCCCGCGGCCCCTCCACCCTAACACAACCCAACTCATTCTCCTCTCCATCTCCGCCAATCCAGCCCTTCCATCGAAACGATGAAGATCCCACTATCGATTATCCTCTGCTGCACATGCGTCCATCTTACATCGGGACTCAGCCGCGGCCCAAACCGTCCCGTTGATAGTGATGAATCCGCCTGCTCGTCGCGCCCTTGGCTGGCTCAGCCCATGGCCATAAACCTAGGAATGCATGCTATGTAGGTGCCTTGCTTGAACACAATGAGGTTTCAAAAAAAAAAAAAAAAAGCTCCGCTCACAAGATAAGAACCGTGGCCTATGCCTCCCCCAGCACGAACACCAGCATCATCGCTACCTTGGACACGAACAACCCAACTCACAACATCACACTATACGCCAAGACAATGAAGAGACTCCGAGAGGAGTATAAAAAGCTCGTTGATTCTCTTCCAGGGGACCGATAATGTCCCAGTGGGAAGGCCAGCTGTACACCATGTACCGAGATTTGGTGCGCCCTCTCAAGGCGTTGGCTGAGTGGTGGGGTTCTCTCAGGCCCAGACAAACCATCGAGACATCCACGTCGCCATATCTGTCCCCCGCCCGAATAGCATGGAACCGCACCAGGGCCATCGGTGTGAAAGCCGGCCTACTCAAATCAAACGAAGACCTGGCGCCGCAGGATCCCACGGGGATATTCGCCGCCGCACTGGAGACAGTCACAGCCACCGTTCTCAGGGAAACAGGCATCAACATCTCGTCGGCGATGGTGCTCTACCCGGATTTCCTGGATTGCAAACATGACAGGACGCATCGCGGACAGGGAGAGCTTATCAAGCGTGCCATGAGAATGGCAGGCTTGTACGCAAGACTTCGGCCCTCTTTCCCCGTTCGCACCGCGCCCTGGTGCAAGGGTTCGGCGGGTTTCTTTTTTTCGACGAGAATAAGAAACACTCGGCGGCAGGGCACAATCTCGTGCTCCTCGACCAGGGCCATTGGGGTCTGGACGTCACAGTCACAGGGGGATATGGTGGGGGATTCTGCCTCCCTAACCTCTTCGTTGAAGACCTCGGCTGCGACGCTATTATGCGCGATTTGATCTCAAGCCTGTCAAACACGGACGCTGTCCGTAAAGAGCTGGATCATGGGGCATCATTCGCGAAACTCGCAGCGGAGGTCAGCAGGGCGAGGGAGGCGCTCATGGCGCAGCATGATGCCGGCACCTTTGTCCACAAGTGGCCAGTTAATGTGCATGATTGGTGGACTAGTCCGGAAGAGCGCGAGCCGGATTCTATATCGCTGCGCTGGGAGGCTGTCCAGGCCGTGGACGAGAAGTATTTGCGTGATCTGGCACGCTGGCTTGTTGCCGCGCGGGATTGTATTCAAGGTACGTACACACCCCAATTCCCTATCGCAACCATATCCCACGAGCCCTCGGCTGGGCTGACTCTGTCCTAGAACGCACGGAACACTGCGCGCCTACGGCAACGACGAACTCGGCCATCGATGGCGTCGTCATGCTCGGCGCCGACTGCTCCTCCTCGCTCCTTGTTGAAGCGGTTCGAGCGTTGCTGGGCGAGGAGGTGCAGATCTTCCGCTCTCCACGCGATACAGATTCGGACGTGGGATTGCATGTTGCGGAACTGGGGGCAAAGGCTGCGCTGTGGGTGCGGGAGGACGCGATCGGCAAGGAACTTGCGAAGCACTGTGATGATCTCTTTGGGTATGATGCTGATGAGGAGGGGGATGAATGGTACGAGCATGGAGAGCTGTGAGAAGCGCTCCATACTTCAAGGCCATGATGCTTGCGCTTAGCTGATAGGTCAATCTGCTGCCCCACAGTGGAACCGAGCCAGTCGAAGAGCACGGGGATTGCAATCCCCGAACGACCGGGCCAATCAGGTCCTTGCTTGCATGTATTTTGTATAAATACCCCGTTGCGAACCATCGATGCTCCCATCCATCCTGCAAACTTCAATCCCCTCAATAAATCCATTCTCAACATGCCCTTTGACGTCTTCACCAGATGGCGGCCTCTCCTAAATTCATCATCCACATCTCCAGGCGAAGCTGAAACAGTACCGGTCGCCGAAGCAGAGATCACCCGAGCACACGATACCTCACCAGGCAAGAACCGCACAGCAACCTCCATAACACCACCACCCCATCTCTCTCGAACCGCCGGCGTCCGCCCCTGGAAAAGCGGCCCCATATTCAACCGAGTCTTCGAAGCGACTGAGCCCGCGAACAACAGAACCGTCTTCGACGCCATCGTCGCACCAGTCATCCCGCGCGTGTTGGCCGGCCAAACAGCCAATTTCCTTGCGTACGGACACTCGGGGAGCGGCAAGTCGCATACAATCATCGGATACGAATTTGAGAATGAGGACGAGTTCGGGCTGTGTTTGGCGGCTGGTCGGAAAATCTTCGACGCTCTGGAGAGGGTTGGATTGTCGACTTCGACGTCAAGGACCACTGAGCATACGGACCAGCTGGGCGTCGGGCTGAGTATGTATGAGCTCCGCGGGAACACAGCATTCGACCTACTTCATCCCGGGCATGATCAATCCAATACAGGTACAAAAACCCCCTGCCACATCCGCTCAGGCCCCGACGGCAAAACACACATCCGGGGCGAGACAGAGACATTCCCCGACGGACGCGTCCGAGTTCGACCCATCGCGCAACGTCCTTGTTGGACCTTTAACGAACTCCGGGAGGCTCTACTCGCCGGGCTGGAACTACGTGCAACGGGGACGTCAACGATCCACGACCAGAGCTCTCGCACGCACGCTGTGCTCGAGCTGGAGATTGTCACCGGGACTTTGCTTGATGCCCGTGATGCGGTGATCGAGCGGCAGAGCGAACTTGTCCCCGTCGCGAAACGCGCGACGGATATTTACATCGAGGAGAATATGAAGGGGCTCATCCAGGACGAGACGGGAACGTACGTCCCGAATCCGGAGTATACGATCAACCAAGCGCGCATCGACGAGGCGGAGGGCAAGAAAGCCGAATTCGAGATAGCAGTCACTAGAGCCGAGGAAAAGGTTAGTTCTGTCTTTGCATCTTGTCCGCACGACTGTCTAGGTGGGAAGTTGGTCTTCGTCGATCTTGCGGGCTCGGAGTTCTACCATGACAAGTCGACGCCAACGTCAACGTCAACAATATCCCAGCCTCCCAGTGCTCCCAGTGCGAGAGCGAAGCTGTCTGCCCAGGAACAGCGCGAGGGACGACAAATCAACACCGACCTCCTAGCGCTGAAGGAAGTTATCCGGGCACGGGCGCTGGGGCACGCGCGGATCCCGTACCGCTCGTCGCCGTTGACGATGGTGCTGAGGGGGCATTTCGAGGCTTGTTCTGGTTCGAAGAATACCAGAAGCAAGGACAAGGTTGAAACTGGGGATGGGGATGGGGATGAGGGATACACAGCTATGATCCTGACTGTTTCTCCCGCGGAGTCGCAGTTCGCTGCTACGTTGAATACGCTCAAGTATGGGAATTTGGTTGGGGTTGGGGTTGGCGGCAGGCTACGAAGATAAAATGACACTGGGGGAGTGGATGAAACGGTGGACGGTCTATTTTTATTCTAGGGTGCCTGGTAGTTGGGGTCCTAGTCCTTTCTCTTGACACGCTAGTACCATCGTCCGCATCATGGTGGTAACATGTCTCAGCTCGTCTCGCCGTTCAGCAGTTTTATGAACGAATGTTCCGACCCAGTGGAGTAATGCATGGTCTTCTTCGTGTTTGGTTGAGTCATCTGCGCTTTTGGGGGTGGTGTTGCCGTTACTGTTGATCATCTCAATGCACAGTATAAGCAGAGGGGCGAACTGGTGGAGCATAACTAGACTACATGACAGTATTAGCCCTGGCCCATGGCTCAATGGCCTAGGATGGAAGGAGAACCAGCCTAGGAACGGGAGAGAGAGACATACCTAACGCCCCAACGCGCATACTCGTATCTCCCCGCGTACATGAACGATCGAAATGTCTTCAGAGACCGTCGGGCAGTGTCGACAGTGTACGCGGATAGCCTTCCACAATTTCCAATTTCATCATCCTGGTGCCCGCCCCGTTGCCTCGCCTGGTCGAGTATGATAAGCATCTTGTAGCACCCAAGCAGCATATCCACCGAGAGCCACGAGTCGATGTGCGTGGTTTTGCTGGAGAGGAGCTCATCCTGAATACCGTCAGTCGTTAGAAGGTTGGTTCCAATCACTTGTCCACGAGCTCGGTGGGCTTGAGCTTGATCGCAGGTGAGATTGGAGCGTACATACCGGCCTCCAAAGCGCCAACGCAGCCTCAACCTCAGTAATAAGGGCACTGGCCAACTCCCGATCAATGCCTTCTACCGGTAACGCAGTTCCAGACCCAGACGGATCGACAACGTCCAAGTACCGCAGCATCACAAGTGCCACGCGCATACTAGCGAGAAAGTGGATCTCAACTACGTGGGTGCCCTTCTCCTCAGTCTCCGTTCCCTCTCTGTCTGCATCCGTACGATGTGCCTGGGAAGGAACAATCCCCGGACTATCCGGAAAGTTCACAGCCCACTCGCCATTCCGGATGAGAGCCCGTGTGCCCAAGGACAAGCGGAACATGCAGTCCATGCGCAGGAGATGCCAGAACTCGAAGCGTTTGCGGTTTCGCTCGAGGGCGTCTGCATCCGTTGCGGATGTAGAGGGGTATGGTGCTGGCCCGTCGATCCGGAAATACCCCAGTGCTCTAGAAACGCGGCAGGCGTGCGCGAGCATCTTCCAGGAAAGATCGATGTTGCCTGTTTCGAGGGCCGTTGACACCTTGCGTAGTATTCGTCAGCTTTGGGTTCGCCCTTCTTGAAATGATAGGCGGTACGTACCGTAAAGCACGCTGCCGACAAATCCGCCTGAGATGGCGTGATACTATCCTCCATCTTACACGCTTCCATCCAGCGCTCTGCAAGATCGATGCACAGGGCCGTTATCTGCTTTGTGAGCGCTTCAGTATCTGCGGTTGTCACACCAGATATATTGCCATCGGTCATCCCCACAAGAAGCCCATGCAGCAGGACCGTGTAGTAGATGATCCGCGACGGATAATCAAGCTGAACGTGCGGGATCTCGAGCAGCTCCGGGATGGAGAGGAGGAAGGATTTCTCCAGGGGGACGCGGAAGCCCGGGAATTGGTACTGGGCGAAATATGCTAGGGTCACGAGTCAGCCGAGGGGTCCTGGGTATCTAGGGGGGTGCTGGTCTACTTTCTATGCACTGGCGAGCGGTTTTTCTGGACATGGGTACCGGTATCGGGGACGGACTGGGGTCCTGGCTTGCACTTGCACTTCCAGTCACCGGTTCAAAATCGACATGATCGACGACGGCCTCGATCGCGTCGATGCAGGCTTGACTCTTGAAAAGCGCCCCTTCGATGCCCCGCATATGGGAGAATGTATCGGAAATTAGCCGTGGTCGGGTATCTGGGTTCTTCAGTCTCTCCCACGCCTCCCGTGCTGTCGTAGGTCCGGCCGGAGGATACGTAGGAGCATAGTCCAGCATTGTCGAGCGAGTGTCGATGAGAACACGCAGATCAGACCTGAGAGATGAGACGGACGCATCCATATCCATGGTTTCATCTTCCCTTTCCTCTTCAAGGTCCATCTCCTCGTCTTGATCCAACTCGGCTTCGTCCACGCGATCATAGCTCAGCTGGCAATGTCTCTCCAGCCGGTCCAGCCGGGCAAGAATCTTAGAGAGGACATCCCTATCTTCGACTCCACTGGAGCACAAATTAGCTGATCCAGATAAGATGATCGAGAAATCTGCATACCACGTGCATCTCCGAACAGGCGTCTTCCGCGGCGGATAGACGCACTCGACGCCGCTGGCTTCACATCTATTACAGCGGGGATCGACTCGGTTACATCTGATCTTTCAGCCAGGAGTCAGTGATCACATCCGCTGGGATTTTGGGTTGGCGTTGAAGCGTATCGACGCGTCACGCACCTTTTTTGCCTGGCAGCGGCTACACTGGAAAAAGATGTCAGCGACCATCACGATGTGCAGTTCTTGATAACCTGGGCCAACGTACCGAGTAGCGCTTTAGAGGCCTGTGGGAGCTCATTGTTCGCCTAAGATAGGTATAGACAAGGTCAGAGGAGATGATGCGCGCCCGAAACAGTTGACGTGTCTGATCACGTGCCGTGGCCTTGAGGTGTACACTGCGAGGGCGAAATATATATAACTGACAAAATATGCCATTCAATAGGAATACTTTATGACTCTAGCATACTATACATCAGGATACGCCCCAAGATTACATACCCATCCGTTCCTCCATTAATTCTAGAATATCAAAGCCACACCCAGACCAAACCCCACTCCATTCCATCCTATCGTATACATCAGCACAACCAATTCCTACGTAAGCCCCGGCATCCCCCTCTTAACACCGGGCTCCCCAAAGCCGGGCGCCAACAACGGCCGCCTCCCCTCAATCCGCGTCCTAAAGATAGGGAAGAACTTCAGCAGGGCATGCTGCCCAAACGCCTCTTCGACGAGATACACAGTCACGCGCCACCACGCCAAGATCGAGCTGATGATCCAGAAGTACGCGGCGGCCTTCATGCCGGTGCCGACGCCGGTTCCGTACGCGAAGAGGCAGCAGGCGATTGTGGAGCCGATTGCGAGGGAGGTGAGCACACCGCAGAGGACGAGGTCGCGGGCTGTGGAGGCGATGGCCTGGTAGTGTTATTTGGGGCTCTGGGAAGAGAGGGTGGATGGACGTACAGCAGACCAGGTGAAGAAGGTTAGCACGATGAACCACGACGCCAGCTCGGGGAAGTGCTCGTCTATCGGGTGCGGGGGGAGGGCGCCGGTTGCCTGTATACATCAACAGCCATTTTCCACAAACAAGGATAAGGGCAACATACAACAAGCAAATAAAGCACCCCGATACTCATCCAGAAACTCCCCCACAGCACATGGATCACCGTGATCAGCGTATCCCTAGCCCCGTACCCATACAGCCCCGCGATGAACTGGCCCAGGCCGCCCCAGAACGCAACGAAGGGAAAGAAGATCGTCGGGGACTCGGGGGACCCCCACCAGTTCGCGATCCAGGTTGCGGTGATCCAGGTTGAGCCGGCGAAGCCTGCTAGGCCGAGGGCGGCGGGGGCGGCGATGGGGCGCAGGAAGATTGTTACGTTGGGGTCGCGGTCGAGGATGCGGTTTACCTTTTCGGGGTTGTTGGGTTCGAGGGACATTTTGGTGTGTTTTTGTTATGGGGTTGAGGGATGGGTTGGGAGAGTGGAATGGAATGGAGGTTTGTGCTTGGGGGTTGGGTTGTTTATCAAGGTTTAGATATTGATCATGTTATGGTGTCAGGATTACGTTTGACCGTTGTCTAGCTCTGAAGTTTGTCTATCTAAGTTTATGGTTAGTTGCTGCGTGACTGGGGCTCTTCACAGGTGCATTGTTGAGATTTACATATACCTTAGGGTTAGAAAAACAATGACTTCACCAGCCCAGGCACACCCGCCCACAGCCGGGCTCATGATCAACGGCAGATCAGCGCCCATCTTCCAAGAATCTGGGACAAAGCTTGTCGAATCTTGGACGATCAGTGGGAGCCCCGGATGGCTCGGGATGATGTCAAGAGCTATGACGCGGGGACCGACGATCCACGAATTGGACAGAGGCATCCCCGCGAAGAGTGAGATTGGCGATGAAAATGTCTACACCGAGAAAATGTTTCTCGACGGATTAATGGGCTTGGGTAGAAGTCAGCGTCGGTGACCACCTACCTGCCTATGTTGCACCTTCATTGCATCCCAGCCGCACAGATGATAGTACGTAGGTTGTATGGTAGCCTCAGATAGAGCAGGAAGATGCGTTACCACGGTCGCAAAGGTAGTATGCGAACTAGCCATGATATGTATTACTCCCCATAAGGCACAACAAACGATGAAAGACGGCAGTCCATCTCATCCATCGACAGCCTCACCATCAGAGTTATTCCAATGGAGGCATTTGACTCAGAACCCATGCTATGAATGCTAAACATTCTTCCTCTCTTCCGTCATCTTAAGATACTCCCTCAACGGCGGCAGATGCGGGTTCTCATGCTCCTCCCAATCGTCCTCTTCGTCGTCCGCAACGCTCGTCGCGCCCAGTTTGATGCCGGTGCCCGTGTCGGCGTGCGAGTGTTCAGCTTTAGGGCTTGATTCTGGCTCTGACCCGGTCGCGGGCATTCGGGTGTCGCCTGGGGACTCGGAGGACATTTTGCTTTGCGCGTTCATGGTTGCTTTGATGCCTTCGCTTTTTGAATTCTTGAACCCGATGTTTGTCAGGGTGTACCTGGGTATGTTTGGCGCGCGTGCGGAGGTCTGGCGTTTGATAACAGATGGCAAGGTTGTACTGTAGGGAGTAACGTGTGAAGCTTTGAAGACGCGGCAGAGAATCCGTTAAAGAGAAGCACAGAGGCCTTTTTTTTTTCATTCATTGGCCGTACGGATACTCGATTGGGGTTTTGTCATCTTGTGCTGATGTCATGACAGCTGATGGACCTCGGGGCTCGTAGATCGTCTGTCTGACATGTGCCCACGCCTGTGTCCGCCTGTTCATCTGATATTTGCGGGATTTGGCTTCATGTATGCAGGTGGTAAGTGTTAATCCTAACTCGTGAAATCTACAGGTATACAGAAGAGGGATAATGGTGCCTTGATGCAAGCTGGAGTCTTGGGAAATGTGGCAGGGCTGCTTTGGGCACCGGTATTTGGAATACAATAGGCCTTGTTAAAGAGTACGGGACTATGGTATAAAAAGCATACATACAACTATCCATGGATATTTTCATTAGAGCGCCCGCCGATGTCAAAAACACACATGGAAACATCCAGCATAGCCAGTGTGAGCTCAACTGTCACCAACAGATTGTTCAATGTAGAACATTCACAAATCATCATACTCCTTACTCGCAGCATCATACTCCCCCTTCTGACCTCCACTCCCACCGCCAGCTCCAGCCCTAAATGCCCTATAAGCATCTTCATCTAAATCCACCTCTTCCTCCAGATCCCCTTCCCTGTTTATGGTCTCTCCCTCCAACGCACCGGGCCGGGTTTGGCCGGGTACCTGTAGGTGGCCTCGGGATTCTTCAAAGCCGCGTCGAGGTGCGCCGCTAGCGCCTTGCGAGGTGATTCTGTCTTGCAGATTTGAGGCATCCATGCCTGCTTCGTTGGCGTCGGATACGTCGAGGGCTTGGTAGCCCGGCTTGCGGGTTGAGGGCATGGTCTCTGTGAAGAGTGTTTCTTTGCAGGTGGGAGTATGTCTTGGGGTGAACGGAGGAGGGATCCAGGAGACGCACGGTTCGGCTTGTGGTTAATTATATATGTGAACAAGGACCAGGATGGTCCTACTGACGCGGATGGGTGGCTTGTAATATAGCTTAAGGTATGGATGGGTGGTCAGGGGTTGACCATGGTTCATGTCGAGGCTATGGTGATGTCAGGACTTAGGTAGATGGCATCCACATATTACATAGAACCCGAACACCATTCCCGGTGATCAGGTGGATAGCTGGGTAAATGGCGCATGGGAGCATCATATGTGGATGATGCTCGTTGAAGTCCACATGTCTTCAAATACTCATCGCATAAGAGGTAGGTCAATGACCGATCTGGATACGGGGTCTGGGCATATTCCTGGCCACACGATATGAATAGCGGATGTAGGAGCCCATGTGTAGGGTCAAATCTATGCATAACACCTCATGCTACCAGCCCGTGAATATGCATTATTGACATAGCATCCATTGAACGACCACCCCTGCGTCAACTTTCACGAACCTCCCAAACCATCATACCCTACGCTGGCTGGGTTAGATTCCCTTTTCCCACCTGCTGCACCGTAGCATCCTCCATTTCGGGCTCATCAAGATCCTCATAGTTAGCCCCTGAGTTAATTCAAATTTCATCTACAGCCACCCAGTAAGATAACACTCTCTCATGTAAGGTGGAGGGAAATCCGCGTTGACAAATCTCTTGACCATTTGGCGGTAGGGCTGTAGTAGTAGTAGTAGTGATATTTAACGCCCCGGGGATCACTAGGCGTACGCCTAATATTTTAAACCTTTCTTAGGGTATGGGGGCGTGCCACTACTAAATAAGTAATTTATTTAAATATTTATATATAAAAAGGCTTTTTATTTTAAAGGGTAACTTTTACTAAAGCTTATAGGCTAGGTATTTATTTTTTACTTATTATTTTAATATATAGCTATTAACAGGTATTATTTATTATATACTTAAAAGTTTAAATATAATAATTTGTAAGGTTTAGCCCTTATATAAAAAAATTATATTAAATAAGCTAGTTATATTAAAAAAAAGGTGTTTAAAATAAAAAAAAATATAATATAATAAAAAAAAATTATTTAATATTAAATTAAATAATTTTAGTATAAGGGCTGCTAGGGCGCGGGAAGCCCTAGTATAAATAAATAAACTTATAAAAATTTATAATTTTTAATAAAAATATAAAGGCCTTAGGCTTTAATTTATTAAAATATTTTAAGGCCTTAGCCTTAGTTATTAATAATATTATAAGGCGCTAGGGTTATTATAAAAAATATTACCTAAAATAATAATAAAAAACTAAGTATTTAAGGCTTTTATTCCTCCTGTAAAAATAAGTAAGCTTAATATTTTTATATTAAAAGTATTTATAATATTATTTAAAGTTTTTATATAAAAACTTATATACTAGTTATTAATATAAAATAAGGTACTTTAGCACTAGTTTTAGCTATATTTTGATTTAATAAGGCTTTAACTTTATAATAAGCTATTATTTATATTAAATAAATAATTTTATAAAAATATTTTTTTATTACTTAGCCTAGGCAGCATGGTGTATTTATTTATATAAATTATATATTTTACTTATAGTAGGTTGCGCCTTTAAAAAGCTAGTATTTAAAAAATATACTTTTATTAAGGTAGCCTTATTAACTAGCCTATTAACTAGTTTATTTTTTTTAATATTTATATAACTAGGGGATTATTATAAATAAACTATATATTAATTTATAAGTTAATATAATACTTAAAAAATTTAATTAAAAAATAGCAAGGGCTACCCACGCGTGTATTAAATTATTAAAATACTATTTATATAAAGCTAGTAAATAAAAGCCTTAAAAAGCTTTTTAATTATTACTTTTAGTTTTTAAAGCGTGTTAATAGCCTTAAAATTATATATATAAAACTAGGTATTAATTATTAATAATTCCTGCGCCTAAAGGTATTATTTATAATATATTATATAATTATAGCTTATATAATACATGCCTTAATATATTTACTTAAAATTATTACTAAAAATCACTACTTTTATTATTAGTAATACTTATTATTATTACTTAAACTTTTCCACGGCTAGCTTCTTAACCTTACTATTAATAAAAATTTTTAGGTATTTTTAAAAATAATAAAAATATGCTAAAACTACCCTAAAAGTTTTTTAAAAAAAATGCTTTTATTATTTATACCTTTATTTTAGGCTTTTAGTATAAACTAGCGCCCTAATTATATAAGATTTTTAGTAATATTATTTATATTACTAGTGGGTTTTAATAATTTACTAACTAAAGTTTTAAAATAATTTATAGTTATACTTTTTTTAGTATTATTATAATAAAAAAAGCCTAGTATTCTTAAAAAAAGTTATTATAAATATTATTTAAAAAACTAAAAGTACACCGCGAGCGGCTAGGGTAAAAATTTTTTTAATTATTTTAATATACTAACCTAGTTAGGTGCTAACCTTTAAGTTTTATATATATTTTTTAGGCTTGGTCCTATTATTATATTATATTTTTATATTATATAAAAGGCTAAAAATAATATAAATAATAATTACCTTATAAAAAAAGTTTATAAGTAAACTATATACTATATATATTAAATTATAAATATATTAAGTTATTATATAGGTTTTAGCTACTTACTTAATAACATGCTAGCACTAAAAAAGCTATTTATTAAAAAAAAATACCTAGCTAGTATAACACAAGCTATTTTTAATCTAGCACCATGGTAATAAAAGTAATTATTAGCTAGTTATTAATTACTAGCAAGGGTAATTTATTATATTACTTTTAAATAATATATAATATTTTTAATTTTTTAAATATAAAAATTATTTTATTTTATTCCCCCTAGGCTAGTATACTATAAATATTTTTTATTAAAAATTTATAATTTATATAAAAAAAGTTTACTCACATGGTTAAAATAAAAGTTATTTATATAATTAAAATATAAAATTAGGTCTGCTAGTAATAATTTAATTATATATAATAAAAATAATACTAGGGAAAGGGGCAAGCCTTATAGCATATTATAATATATTAAGTATATTATTATTATAATAAATTTTAGGCATACCTTTATATTTTATTTATTAAAAAAATTTATAATTAAGGCTAAAAGCACGCGAGGCCAGCCTTGCTTTATTATTTATTAAAATAAGTATTATAATAAAATAATATTAAAGGTGCTTAAAATATTTATAGTAACTATAATAACCTCCTGGTTTTATAAAAGTATTATTTTTATATTATAAGTAAAAAAAACTATTAAATTTATAACTAAGTATTTAAGTAAAATACTATATTATTATAAGCTTAGCACCCCTTATACTAGCATAATAAAGGTAATATAATATATTATAATTTATTTAATTTTTTTTTAATATTAAAAGTAGTGCTATAGGGCGCTAGGATTAAAATAAAAACTTATTTTTTTTATTACTTTTTAAAAATATTATTACCTTTATAAGCTTTTATAATAAAAAAAAGTATTTTAATTATAGGTATTAATTATATAGCTTATATATAACCTACCTAATATATTTTTAGTAAGTTTTTAAAATATAAATTATTACCTAGTTTGCTTTAGGAAAGGTGCTGCTTATATTAATAATATTTTTTTAACCTTTTTTAATAAGATTTTTTTTAGCTAGTAAAGGTATTTATTACCCTGCTAGTACTTTAGTATTAAAAAATTAAAATTTAAATTATTATTTATATTAAAATACTTTAGTACTACCTTTTATAAAATATTAGCCTTTTTTTACGTGTTTTTAATTATTTTATTATTTATTAATAATAAGGGAGCTTTAAGCCTAGGCTTTAGCTTATATTATATTATTATTTAATATAATTTTTAATTATTTTTAATATTATTAATTATTTTAATTTAGTACGCGTGCTTGGTTTTATAAACCATAATTAAAAATTATTTTTTTTATTTTAAAATAGGGTTTACTACCCAGGCTTAGTAATTTTTTATATATTTAATTAATTATTAAGGGGCGCTATAACTTCCTAGGTTAGGGTATTTATTAATTACTTATATAATTTTTATAATAATATTACTAAAAAATTTAATATATTAATTTAATATTTTTATATCCCTAAGTTCCCCGGGCTAAAAAAAATATTATTTTATTTTTTATAAGCCTAGCTAGGTGCTTAAGCTTATAATTTAATATATTATAATAATATTATTTTAATATTTTTTTTACGCCCCAGCATTATAATAACTAAAGTTTAATAATTAAAATTATTATATAATTTAAATATTACTAGCATGCGGGTAAATAAAATATTTAAAAAAGTTAAATTAAAAATATAGCTAGCTTTATATATAGCCACGCCTAGCTTATTAATATAATTAATATTATTATTATTAGCCTATTTAGTAATCTTACTATTATAGTATAGGTTATTTACTTTAGGCTTAAAAGTATTATATATAATATTAAAATCCCTGCTTATTATATAATTTAAGGTAGGAATTAATATAACTAGGTAATTAATTATTTTATAAATAATTAGCTTTTAATATATATTTAAAATTTTAATATTATTTATTATAAGCTATAGCATATTTTAATTTTATATTAGGTAGTATTATTTAGCATGTAATACTTTTTTTTATAAATATAGGTAAGCACCCTAGGGTATTTTTTTAGCTAATTTTTATAATTATTTTAAGTATTTATTAATATATAATATTTATATACTAGGTAATTTTAGGTTTTTATACCTATGGTGGTTTAGGGCTTTTAAATATAGGTAATATTATAGCCTTACTTATAGGCTAATTATAAAATTATAATATAACTAGGTATAAATTTACTTATATTTACTTAATAAATAGTAAAATCCTATTATTATTAAGTATTATTATAATAATAATTACTATAATTTTTTTTAATACTTTATTATTAAAGCTTAAAGAGGAATTTAATATTAACCTTTATTACCTAGGGTAAAAAAGGCATGCCCGTGTTAATTAAGGCAAGTTAAATTAATTTAGTAAAAAATTACTTAAAATTTTAGTTTTTAATAAAAATATTAAACCACGGGATATAATAATTAGTAATTATTATAAAACCTTACTTATTTACCTTAAGTTTTTTTATAACATGCTTTTAAAAATTTTTTTAAGGTAAAAATTATTTAGTTTTAGCCTAAAGCTAGGTATTAATATTAACCTAAATATATATATTTTAATATTAGCAAGTATTATAATAGCGTATATTATTAAGTTTTTTTTTAAATAGGTAAACTAAAGTTTTATTTTTATACCTAGGGAATGCTAGGTAGTTATTATATTTTACTAGTTATAAACCTAAATAATTTATATAATATATAAGGTTTTTATAATTAAAACTTATAAAACCTAGGTAGTCCACGGCTATTATATTATATTATATATAATATATTATATAATTATATTATACTAGGTAATAGTATCCCTAGTAACTAAAGTTATACTAAAAAATTAACTAGTATTTTTTAATAAGCTAATAATACTCACTTTAGTTAAATAAAATAAAGGTCTTAGGCTACTTTAAAAAAAAAAACTACCTAAGTAATATACCTAGTGTTAAGGTTAGGTTTATATTTTAAAAAAAAAACAAGCCTAACTAGTTTTAGTTTAATTTAGGCTATAACTTTATTTTAAATTAACTTAGTAATATTTATTTTATTATTATTATATATTAGGATAATACTAGGCACCCCTTGCATTATATAGTTATATTATTTTTAAAAAATATATATATTAATAATACCTAGGGTATAGTAAATTATACTAATTATTTTATTAATTATTAAAAATAATAGCTTAACCTATTTAGGTAATATTAATTTTAAAAATAACTATAGTTATAATTAATTCTAGCACGCACTTAATAAGGGCCTGTTAAATAATATATACTTTTAAATATACTATTAGCTTATTATTAAAAAAGGTAATTAATATTTTATAATTATTATATATAATTAAGGCTATAATAAAGCTACTACATATTAATTAAGCTATTAAAGTACCTAACTTAATAGTTAAGGGCGCCTTGCCTAAGGTAGTATTAATTAAGGCAAAAAAACCTATTTTAAAAAAGGTAGGCTAAGCCCCTAAGTTTTTAGGGGTTAAACTTATTTTTTTAAGTAATAATCTTGCTAAAGGTTATTATAATAATAAGCTAATTATATATATATAAAGGGATATAATTAGTATTATTAATATTAATATACCCTTTTAAAAAAATAAAATATATAAACTTATTATAAATATTATAAGTAAAGGCTTTTTAATTTTAAGTTTTTTACCTAGTTATAAAATTATTAATAATAATTATAAAATTTATAAAAACTTTATATTTAATATATACTTAGTATTTTTACTTATTAAGTTAATTATAAAAGGCCTTTATAACTAAGCTAGGCTAAAAAATTAATATATTATTACTTTTAATAAAAAAAAAAAATAGGCTTGCTAGGGCCTTTTTTTTTTATTTTTTTATAATATAAAAATTAAAAAAAAAATAAAGGGTTTTATAATTATATAAAGTTAGTTAAGTTAATACCTATAAGCTAGTTAAAAATACATGCCTTAATTTTAGTTATTATACCGCGGGGAGTAGTAAAAAAAAAAAAAAATTAAAAATAAAATTAAAATAGTAAAAATATATATTTATAATAGTTTTAAAGCATCTAGAGCCCTTATTTAAAGGTACCCCTAAATTACTAAGAGTTATAAAGGTGGCGGTAGGGCTGTACGGGGCCCGGTTGGCTGTTCTGGTCTGGGCCTGCAGTATGCTGGATTCGCCGGGTTTCCTGGTGCTTGGAAGGAACCTCTGGTGCCGAAGCCGGACATATTGTGTGCTTAACTGTATGCCCTGAAGGCAGACGAGGGTGAGGTTCACGGAACAGGTGGAAGTTGGGTACCGTTCTTAATGGATGCATGTAAGGGGTACAGATGCGGGTTATATACGGGTGGCGTGGGAGCGAATGCTGATGTCAGGACAAGGAATCACAAGCGGGTACTAAGGTACCTAGGTAGGACCTAGGTAGGGTAATCTTGAAGCCAGATTAGAGATCCATTAAAATCAGAAGCTCTGAATATTAACCCCCATACGCCTGGAGTAGAGTTCCTGCATATGTTTTATTTACATACCGTACATGGAACAAATAACAAACTTACCCTGAACCGCGTCTCCCCTCGACATTGGCAAGTCTTGGCCTAGAAATTATTATGATTGAGACGCCAGTTCATGTAATCCTGGTAGTTCAATCCTTCCCTTGCCTCATTCGTTGGCCGTTTCAATTGCAGGTAACCCTCGACGGCAGCGAAGGCATCATGATCCGACCGATTCGTACCCCTAGGCTGGGACTGCCCGCTGCCGACCTCAGGGAAGGTATTTGGGTTTCCTAGCATGGCGCCATGCATGAAGTCCGCTGCGCTGCGTGTCTGGGACGTGTCGTGCTCAGGCTCAGAGGTGATTCTGTCTTCCAGGCGTCCGGGATCCATGTCTGTTTCGTTGGCGTTGGTTACGTCGAGGGCTTGGTAGGGTGGGCGGGTTGAGGGCATGGTTTTTAAGCTGATGGGGTGGGTTTGTTTGGAGGTCTGAGTGCGTCTTGATGTATGCGTTGTTTTAACCACGATGTTTCTGAAGGACGCGGGTAGGTAGGTTGTAATATAGCTAAAGTTAAGGCATGAGGGGTGACGGGTGACGGACCACAGGTAGGTGGTCCACGTCCATGTGAGGCCATGCTGATGTCAAGATCGCCATCCATCCGTGCATTACATAGGACCATTTCAAGTGGAAACTCTATGTTCTGGATGAAGGCGAGTGTGATGATCAGCATCAGGTCGAAGTTGACTACCGTTCTTATATCACTTAGCTGTGTATAGGACACGATTGTGAGTACGCTATATAGGCAGCTTGCAAGCGAGTTCTCATATCAGGATAACAAGCTACAAGTGGGAATGGTAGGGTACTCTTGAAGCCAGACTAGAGACCCATTGCAATCACCGTAACCCATGATGAAGCTCCCATTGGTCGGGCAGTGAATCTTCGCGGATTGATAAAATATGCATATTTTCCCTATAAGGCGAGGGCATGGGGTCAAACGTCACCGCAAATTGTCCAGATGCGCTATTGTCGGGTCGCCCAGGTCTATTCCCAACATTAACCGCCCACATCTGGTTGCCCCCAGCGTTCAGACTTCTCTCAAAGCGACCCATGTCAATCGTCCGATTCGTCGCCAGCGGCGGTTTTCGTCTTGCTCAGAGGTGATTCTGTCTTCCAGGCTTCCTGGGTCCAGGTCTGCCTGCGCAGGATCGGTCATGTCGAGGCGCTGATAGCTGGGGTTGGGATTAGGGTTGCTGGGGGTGTTTTGGGATGGTTGCATTGAGATGACGAAGTTGGTTCAGAATGATAGTTGATTTCAGAGTTCGGGAGATATATGGAGGGTAGACGGAGTGGAACTAGACTGCGTATGGGATTATATACTGTTATGTGTGGTGGCGGTGGTTGATTGAACCTTGATGTCAAGAGCTCTACCATGGGCACGATGTGTGACTCCTGCTTCATAGAAAGCTTGCTTTTATGGGAATATGTCATGTCATATCATGTACCTTCCATAGTTGGTGGCGTACGGCTTCTGGCCTCTGTCTTATTGTTTCTCTCTTAGATGCAAGGCATGCGGTCTACAGGGTCAGTCCGCACCAGAAGCTGGACAAGTGATATGACAGAAATGAATGTGATTGACACACAGATCTAGAGCAACGCAAAGCGCTCGAAGACTTTCACAAAGTACCAACTCTGCTGGAGGCTGCATGAAACTCTGTGATATCGAACCTCAAGCTCAAGTATGTCGGTCAGCGTTGGTACCCGCGGATCCCCGAATCAGAGCCAGACCACGCCCCGGCCCTTTTATCAAGATTTAAATCGGCTCAAGCTCACGGCCCAGCACCTACTCCCCGCAGGGCCCACTCCAATGAATAGATGCAGCTGTTTGGCCACTCAGCCTCATTGCCCAGTTCCGTCTAAGGCTGTGCACACTGTTAGCAAGGCACACGTTCTTCTGGCTTCTCGCAGTATCAGGCCAACTTACACAACCCTCAGGCGTCGGCTCCAGCGGGTGTCCGCCAACATTGCAGAGCGTGTAGTCCTGCGTGTAAACAAGCTAGCCTTAGTCCCGTTCCACACACAATACAAACCAAAACAATAATACAGATGGACTTACCTCGCTCTGGCACATTTCCTCGCACCCCGTGCTGCAGGTTGTCTCTGTATCGCCTAGAGACACGCACGCTCCGTACCGACCGCTCGCGCAGCTGGCGGTGCAGTCGGGCCCGCAGTCGACGCAGCCCTCCGCGGTACCGCAGCAGGCCATCAGGGCGCCGGAGGTGGGGATGCGGATGGAGATGCACTCGTCGGGGCATTCGCCCAGTCCTGGGAATTGGATGGGTGGGCGCAGTTGGGCGAGGGCCGGGAGGGCGAGGGTTGCGGCGGTGAGGATGGAGAGCTTCATTGTGATCGTTTGTAATGGTTGCTGGACTGTTGTGTGGAAGAGGATGACAATTGGAGGGTTGGTTGGGTGTCTCAGGGCGAGTTCTGTACCCGTATTTATAACTGTCGTCGTAGGACCTTGGGATGGCGTCACAGCTTGCAGGCAACAGGAGAACTTGGACCCCTTGGAGATGATTGATATTGCCGTGCCATGGCATGCGTCATGGGCTTTATGTTGATAGTGTTGAAACCCTGATTTCTGTGATAGTAGAAGGATGGACTGCTTTGGCCCCCACGGCTCTGCAGGGGCTGGGCATCTTGGCCGTAGGGCCTCGCTATAGGGTTGTGCCTTGGAGCTAGATCTGCCCATGACTCGCGACTATATTAGGGTTGCTTCAGGCGCAGCTTGGCCATTCACGACTGAATGTGCATTCCTCCCCGGACCGCCCCAGGTGGGTTTTGCCAATGAGGCACAGTGGGGGCGAGTCATGTAGACCCTGGGACCTCTTCGGTGTCTTCACCGAAGACAAGACAAGCGAAGCCAAACCCCTCGGCTGCTGGAGCATCCGAGCGTTAGGTAGCGCGTACGAAGTTGTATGTGTAGTTGCATCAATGTGTACACATCCATAGGTATACTTGCAGAAGGGTTTGTCAAGATCCCTTTCGGCGACTCCGATTTCTTCTTGAACCTAGGCGATGTACCTATCTTTAGTAGAGCACCGACTTGGGCCACATGGCCAGCCACCTGCAATGCTGTTAACAGTCGCTTTGTCGTTGGTCCATGAGAGGAACAAACGTCCAGGCGGGCCAGGAGTCCAACACCGGTTCGGCGACAGTGTCAAGAATCTGAAGTGATAGTGCTTCCACACGTCTCCATCGTCATCAGAACTGTTTCAGCTTAGTAATTGAGAATCCTCAAAGTATGTTGTCATTGGATTCCCTGCACATACCCCAGAGGACATGTGCGTGGGAGATCGTTCGGTCTAGCCGGATTAAAGCATGGCAGAAAGCAACCCAAGGTGTTGGTCAAGACATTTTGGCCCCTTCCAAGAGAAAGCAGTGGGTTCTTCTTCCAAGGTTTCCCCATCGCCAAGACCTTGACAGCCCCGGATGCCCCGGAAGATGGGGCGGTTATATCTATAGGACGTTGACACCGCAGTGACTTCACGTCACTCTATGCGACTTTCATTAATAGGCATAAATCCACTTTATATTCTCGTTGTCTACCAGCCTAGAGATCATCAAACTCCTCACTGGAGAAGTCATACTCCCCTTTCTTCACCCCATACTTCGCCCCTGTTCCAGGACCTCTAGGTACGTTCTCCGTCTCATCCATATACGGTCCTTCGAGGTCCGCTGCGTAAGTGTCGTAACGGCTAGCGCCGCTCACACCAGCAGCAGCGTCGGTAGACGAGGCGGATGCCTGTGGGTTTCCATGATCGGAGGATACTCTGTCTTGCATGGGTAGGCTGTCGTCTTCCTCTGCTTGCTCGGGGTCGGCGACGTCGAGGCGTTGGTAGCCGGGTGCGAAGGTGAACTGGCGCATTCTGGAGGTGGAGGTGGAGATGGCTGAGGTTTTGCTGAGTATGGGTTAAGATGAATGAAGCCGTGCCAGGCCGGTTTTTAACTTGCCTGATCAGGGCCAGGTCATCGCAGTTTTATAATTGTCTGGAGTAGAGGCAATTCCCTCGGGCTTGATTGATGTCAGAAGGACGTAAATGACCCAGCGATCGTTCAACGCTCGATTTGATACACACGCGACGCACTTTATGTGACGTATTTCCGCATTTCTAATCATGTAGTTACTGGTCAAGCCATATTTATATACATTTGTAGGTAGTCTTCTTCTAAATATCATGGTAATGCAGACCACCCGAGTCCCCGAGCCCCAACCCGCCCCGCCCCTTACTCTCCGAATCCAAGACATGGTCTGCCGAGGGATTGTACTCCAAATCGGCCTCGTTACTTTCAGGACTCTCAACTATAAACGACCCAAGCGTATCCTGGCTCTGCGCTGAATTGGGAGGTGCTCGATTGCCAGTTCCACCACCATCTCCAGGACCACGCATGCTAGAATCTGTGGCTTGAGTCGCAGAGATTGGGTTCTGTAGAGCTTGCATACGCTCTGAGGCTAGGCTGTGATGCGCACTATCCGAGCCAATGCCTGAGTGTCCTTTCGCGGACATGTACTCGGTGTCCTTGTTGGAGGACTGCGTTTGGTGAATGTATGACATGAGGAGGTTGAATTCTAAGAAATCGATCAATTCTTGAGAAGCCGGATTAAGGATATTCTTTGATGGATATTGAATATGTATTCATTTTCAATGGTTCAGCGTGGTCCGTGTGGCACTTGGATTGACATCGGGCTGATGTCACAATTGGCTGCTTGGTGGATCATCCAATGATCATTATTACCATGCCTAATGCCTCGGGACGTTTGTTTCCCTTGGGTTCTGTGGTTGATAGACTGGCATGGATGACTTATCGCAACAATTATCCCTAGTCCCGTGCACAAAGTCTGGTTATACGTACCTAATGACAAGGAGCCGCATACAAAGGCTGAGTGCGGGGTGGTTTAAGGGCACGTTTCTCTTTCTTTATTCCTTGGACGGCTAGCAGGAGACAGCTTTGCGTTTTTGAGGACTTTGTAAGTCACATATTCTTGTGCAGATGGAACGGGATCACGGGCGAGGTACCATACCGTACCTGAAGGTCGTGCTGGTATACCTCCAACTCTGATATGGGATATCTTATCAGAATCGACAATATGCAAATATAGCTTGTTTATCCGTTTGACTCGTGTTTCGAGTCTTCCGGGTCCAGAAAAGGAACAAAGACAGTCCTTTAATCTTTGGCGGCCTGCATTTGGTTGCGACGCAGGGCGGCCCGGGGCTGGCGTTAGGGCTTTGTCTTTCGTTACAGCTGGCAACAATGAGCGCCATAATGGAGTCCAGGCGAGGGCGTAACAATGAGAGGCTATCTTCTTTATAAATAGATACTGACCACCCGGCGCGCGCGAGGCATTGAAAACATTTTGACCCGACGATAATTCACCACCACTAGCAAAAACCAACCACCGCAGCCATGTTCGACGTCTCCAATCTGTTCGTGGCGATCCTCCTCCCATTCGCCCTCACCTCTCCATACCTCTCCTGGTTCATGAACCCTGTCTCTAACACACTAGAACCTTACGTAACGCCATACTATCACCCAGCCAAAGCTACATATGACCAACAAATACGGACCGCGCGCGGCATCGCCACCGGAATTACCTCCTGGACAACCAACTGGCTGAGATGGATCGAATGGCCGACGATACGAAGCTGGGGCGACATCATCCCCGGCGTAACCAAGGTTTTTGCGTCGTTCATGTCGATGCTCGGCCCGCTGCTCACGAAGCACGCAACGCCCTTGCTCGAGTACCTGTACTACTCCCTGCCCTTTGTGCAGCGGAAACCAAAGAGGTTTGTTGATGATCGGATGGGGATCATTTTCCTCGTCTTCTTCTCCGTCCGGTACCTTCGACTCCTCATTAACCTCATAGCATTCTGGGCGCTCTATGAGCCAACGCCTATCCCGCAAAAGCCGACCCTTAACCCGTCAGACTGTACCGTCGTTCTGGCGACCACCTGCACGGACGCGGAAGATGCAGATTTCAAGGCCTGCCTGACTTCTTGTCTAACCAATGAGCCTGGCGCTCTCATCGTCGTCCCTGTCGGGCAGGAGGCCGCTCAAGCCACGAACCGGGCACTTAAGTTTGTGCAGCCGCGCTTCACAAAGACGAATGTGTCGGTCAAGGCCGTCGAGCCGGCTAAAAGGCGGGCTGAAATGGCCAACGTGCTGAGATCCGTCGGCACAAAGATCACAGTTCTTCTCGATGAGCATGTTTCCTGGCCCTCCGCTAAATTCCTGCCATCCCTTCTGGCACCCTTCGAAGATCAGGATATTGGCCTCGTGGGTGTACGGAAGGATGTCTGCCGCAAGGAGACTGACTCCGCGTTGAGAAGCATGTGGAACTTCTTTGGCGCCCTATATCTGGAGCGTCACAACTTCGACATCCGGGCTGCAACTACACTCTCCGGCGGCCTTTTTGTGAGCGGTATCGCCAGTCAAACCTCTGCATTTCAATCCTCAATCAACACAGACCTGAAGTTCCAGGAAGCATACAAGAAGAATAGCTTCGTCCGTATGATGCTCCGGCCGTTTAACACCGAGGAGGACTTCATCACGCGCTGGATCGTCAACCATGGGTATAAGCTCAGCTTCCAGTACACCAAGGAAGCAACGATTGAAACAACGCGTCCCTTCGGCACATGTCCGATTCCAGAAACAACGAGTATCGTCAATAGTGCCAGCAATACATGGAACAAGGCCACGGACCTGTCGGGGGTCGGGAAGATCTGGGACCGTTGCTCCAAATACATCTGTAACTTGTATAAGGGCTGTAGCGATGCAGTGGTAAACAAATTCAATGCTGTCATTGCAGTTCCATCAAAGGTCCTGGAATGGATACTCAGTATCGACGTTAAGGCCTGGCTCCCGGCTGATTTCACCTTTTCCTCACTGTTCGCGAACCCGTTCAACTCCCCAGATCAACCTGGAGCCGGAACAAGTCCAACCCCTGTCCCGTGGTGGTCCCCTGCAAACCTGTACACAACATGCCTCTATTTAACCAGCTACTCCGTACCTCTCGGACTTCTCTACGACGCCGGGCTAGTCTACACGCTCATCAACAGCGCCATAGGCAAAGAGCGCGGCACCAAAGGACTGGCCATCTTATTAGCCATCCTGCTATCCGGCAAGATCGTCAAATTGGCAGCGTACTTCCTGGCCGAAGTGACAGCCGCGGACGTCGCCCAGTATGCCGCCGAATTCCCGAGTTTTACGGGCTTGCCGGCTATCCCAGGTGAGTAACGCATCAATCATTATCAAGCAAGACGCTTATGGCTAATAGTGACTAACTGGAAGACTCGTCCGCGAACGAAGGAATCGAGTCCGGACCTATCGAGTCCGGACCTATCGAGTCCGGACAGGAGCAAGCCCTCTAGTTTGACCAACCCCCCTCCGACATCAGGACAGGAACAAGCATCTGCACAAACGACAACGCCGGTGCAGGCACCGGCGTCTAAATCAAACGCATCTCTCCCAAATCCAGGTCAATCTTGTTCTCCATTCGCTGAATTCCTAACACCTGAACCAGCCCCTACGTGGAGGCCGGAGGCTATAAAGCCCCCAGCAGCAGTATCAGATGCAGTTCCAACCGCTGCTTCAACAATAACAACTGCTTCCAAGGCGAAGCCGGAGCCAGCTGTACTAACTCCTGGTCTAACTGCACCTCCTTCAACGCCGATTTCCCCCACGCTAACTTCTCCTTCTTTTCCTGCTCCTACATCAGCTATAGCAGCAGCTCCAGAGCCAAAGTCACCGGCAGAACAACCGCAGGCAACTGCATTGTCCATTGCAACGCTAAAGCTAGCTCTCGCTACTAGTTTAGATAATGCTATTCTAGTAACGTCTGGTCTCACCCCGCCATCAGCATCTGAACCAGCTTCTGCCGCAACATTAAAGTCACCGGCCGCAGTTTCGACATCGACAACAAAGCCTACTTCTGCTCCTAGCCCGGGATCAGCTCCTGGGCATGATACGGACTCGGCATCAAAGCCAGGGCAAGAACAGGTTACTGCCGCAATGGCCATGCCTGCTCCTGCTGCTGCTGCGGTATCAAAGCCCGAAACGGACCTAGGTGCAGCTTCGCAACGAACGGTGGAACAAAGTCCCCATCCACCTGGACCAAAGCCGGCTGCACCTTCGGCTGCAACGCAGAAGCCGGAGCTACCCCCTATTGACACGACAACCCCGGCGCAACCTCCAGATTCAACCCAAAGCCCAGCTCCGGCCAACAAACCACCCCCAGCACCAGCGTCCGCTTCCCCTGCAGCAAAGCCAACGCCAAATCCAGAGCACATATCGGCACCAACACCTGCAAAGCCCGTGGTAGTATCTGCAACTGCACCAACTGCACCAAGTGCACCTGCACCATCCACAGCCCAACTCGCCCCATCCTCAACTCCTGCACCAGAACGAAACGCTGAACAATCTCCCATCTCCCCGGTACTGAAGCAAACTACAGCCCCAGCTCGAAAGCCAGGTCCTGAACCATCCAGCCCCTTCCGCTCACCAGCGCTAAAGCCAGTCCCCGCTACGGCCTCTCCCACATCCGCATCTCCAGGCCACAAGAAATCCTTCCAAGAGCTGCGCTCCACATTCGCAAGCCCGACCTTCAAACCGCCTGAGCCCTTCCAGCAAACCCACCACTATACCCCCGCCGGCCGCCAGACTGAAGCCCCGGTTCCGGAATCCCCGATGTCGCCTTGGAGTGCTACAGGCAAGAGTCCCGCTTCTCCCACGCCGTCGGTTAAACGCAAGGAGTTGCAGGCTGGCTCGCGGAATTCCGGGTTTGATTTGTCACAGCCTGCTTCGTCGCCTTCGAAAGCTAGGGAGGCTGGCCGTGCTCCAGGCGAAGAGGGTAAACGGTCTATCTCTTCCCCTGTCTCTGGAGAGAAAAAGATGTCATCTCCCGTGGTGGAATCCGAGGCTAAAAGCCGCTCCTCACCGCAACCAGGGATCAGGCACATCGAAGCGGTTGGTATGGCGACGGATAAAGCACCCATTACCCCAGCTACATCTGGCCCTGAGGGAAAGCACGTCCAACCCGAAGGACGGCAGTCGAAACGCATTAGCCGCTCCTTGTCTCGCCCAGTGATCCAAGAGGCGGAGACGAGCACTGGGGTCCCAGAGAACAAAGCGTCCGTCCCTGTGGTTTCCTCAAGGCCTGAGGCTTCGAAGTCCGAGCGCAGTGAAATTTTCCGATCAACGAGCTCACACCCTATCAAGGCTGGCCATGACCGTCCTGCCAAAGAGAAGGGGAAGCCTGGAGCAGCCATTCCGACCTCCATTGAAGAACACAGAAATGTACAGCCAGATTTTGATCGGCAAGATCCAAAGCGGACTTCCCGGTATCCCACGTTCGTATCGCCCACCCTCCCGGACGCCGGCCATGCAAAGGCTACAGAAAACAGAGGGTTTGTTTCGCCGGCGACGTCTGTTCCAGAACGCAAACCAGTCCAATCCCCTGTTCTGAAACCCGAGCGCACGGAAACTCCCGTCTCGTGCCGACCACCAACTCGAGAGGGTGGCCGCGCAACTGATGAGATAGCTAAACCTCCAGCCCCAGAGCGCAAGCAAGCAGAACCCGAGAAAAGAGAATCTCGGCACAGGGAAAGCGTCGCTTCTTCGCGGTCAAACGCTATACCCAGGGAGACGAGCCAGACTATAGAGGACAAAGTGAAACTATTCAGCGGTGCTCCTATGCCTGAGCGCAAGCAGGTCCGGCCTGATTCGCGAGGGTCTGAACGCCCCAGCAGTTCCTCATCGCAGTCAAGGTTAAGGGCTTCGACAATAACTAGTTATCCTACTGAAGGTGCCAACAAAGGAACTGCAGCTGCAGCTATCTCCGCACCCCAGGACAAGCAGGTACAGCCTGCTCCGCGCGAATCTGAGCGTAACAGCACCTCGCCTTCCATTTCAAGGCCGCGAGCTTCGACGGTAACTGGCTTTGATGACGAACCGAACGCACCCGCACCGCCTCCTACTTCAGTACCGGATCGCAGGAGTTCAGTCCATCTCACTGAGCGATCTCGCGATGACCGGCACAGGGATGCCAGTCGTTCAACCTCTGTGATGGACCGCAGGTCGGTTCCGCCAACTGACCGATCTCGCGATAACCGCAGCAAAGAGGCTAGTCGTACAGCTGAGGATGGAGCATCAGTGTCGAACTCAGGACCGCAACGCAAGCCAAGCGAACGATCTCGCGATCATCACAATGTGGATGCCGGTCGTACTGCCAATCATAAGGGGACTGCAGCGGCACCGACCTCTGTGGTTGACCGCAGGTCCGTTCAGCCCCCTGAACGATCGAGCGATGACAACTATCGCGACGGCCGGCACAGGGATGTCAGGCCCGCACAGGCACCAGAGGAGCGCCGCAAAGGTGACCGACCTCCAGATGCACGGGCTAATGATGGTCGACGCAGAGAATCCCGCTACAGTGACGACCAGGCTGTTGATAGCCCGACTAGCTCCTCGCCACCGAAGGTGAATCAAGGGAGAAAACCCCGGTACGAAGAGGAGAAGTCTGGGGATGCCCGGCCTACAAACGATCGATACGGACAAGACCGGCACAGCGGAGACCAGCCGAAAGACGACCGCGTAAAACATGACCGGACCACTGAGGGTGGTACCAGAACCAGAGACGCACCGCTTCCAGCCAAAGATGATACACGCAGGGGGTCCCATTACAAGGAAGAGCAGACCCAGAGCAACCGTGCTAAAGACGCACCACCTGAGTATGGTAGCAAGGAACACGGACGGAGATCTGAAAGCCAGACTGATTCGAAACGGGAACATGCAGGGCACACCAGCGACAACCCGAGAGACATGGCATCCTCAACTAAAGATGATAGACGCAGGGAATCACGCCCCAAGGAAGCTGGAGAACAGCCCGGGCCCACGAAACGTACTCGTGCCGCACAACTACACATACCTCCACCTTCACGTAAAGCCGAAGAGCACCACCGCCAAGCAGAGCAGGACAGGGTACTGCAAACACTATACAACGAAATCGAAGAGCAGCTCTCGCCTCGAACCGTCCAACCCAGCCAACGCCAACAGCTGGACGTACGCGCGCGACAGCAACAGCATCAAGACTCCCGCTCCCGCGCCCAGCCCTCTCGCAGACAATCCACTGCTGAAGCTAGTCAACGTGCAACAGAACGGGCTGGCAAAGAGCGAACCCGGAGCGAACAGGTACCATGTCACACAGTAAGGCCGGAGTCAAGCACTGCAGGTGGACAACGACGTGTGTCAGAGCGGGATAAACCCACGCGAACAGAGCATGAGTCTCGCCCTAGAGAAACGCAGCATGCAGGCGCGGATAGACACCATCCCATAGCTGCGGACAGCTCGAAGACCCGAGACAAAGACGAGCGTGCTAATGTAAGGCAGGAGTCAAGTGCCGAGCAGCGCCGCGCTTCAGAGCGGGATAAACCCGCGAGCGCGCCATCACGAAGCGAGCGTGAGTCCCGTCCTAGAGAAACGCAGCAGACACCTACAGGCACGGATAGACACCGTTCTATAGCATCGGAGAACGAGAAGACCAGAGACAAAAACGAGCAGCGTGCTAGTGCTAAAGTAAAGCCAGAATCAGGGGCCGAGCACCGCCGTGCTTTGGAACGGGATACATCTGCGAGAGGCCGGAGTGGCCAAGAGCCCCATCCTAAAGAAACGCAGCAGTCAACCGCGGAGAGACACCGTCCTACAAACACAGACTACCAAAGTACCAGAGACAAATACGAGCAGCGTGCTAACGCAAGGCCAGAATCAAGCGCTGAGCCGCGCCGTCCTTCAGAACGGGATACACCCGCGAGAACACGGACTGGACACGAATCCCATGTGGAGAGACATCGCTCTCTGGCTGGGGACTACGAGAAGACCAGAGACAAATTCGAGCGGCGTTCCACAGTACAGCCGGAATCAAGCGCTGAACAACGCCGTGCTTCGGAACGAGATACACCCGCCAGAACACGGAGTGAACACAAACAGCAATCTCGCCCAAGAGCGATGTCGCTGTCGGGCGCAGACAAAGGCCGTGCTGCGGAACGCGATGCAAACCAGCGAGGCCCAGTCGAACGTGGCCATGGCGATGGTCACAAGAGCGGCCACCCGGCGAGCCGGTCTGACTCCAGTGGGCATGGGAATGACAGAGTACATCGAGAACGAGAACATGAGCATCGAGGCGCTGACAGACGGGCGTCATCTGCAGTCCATTCCTCCCGGTCTAGGTCCGACCACGTGGACCCTGGCAGGCAGGCACCTGCACAGGAGGAGATCAAGTATGAGTTGAGAAACGGGATGATAGTGGAGGTTCCCCGTTCGAGGGATTCTCGAGACCCTGGATCTGGATCTGGATCTGGATCGAGGGAGAAGGAGAAGGAGAAGGAGACTCGTCGCAGTAGATGGTTTGGGAAGTGAGGTGTTGTTGCATGGATGGGGTGTTCGATGTATGCGGGTGTTATTGCCTATACTTTAGATCTGTTTTGTGTTGATATATTGGTTCGGCGTTGATTTACATTGATAGATATTAGATATTGCATATGTACAGTTTGTACTTTAATCAGACCACAATCCTACCCAAATACGAAACATAATTCCAACTCTGCTGGGCATTCAAGCTGTACGAGTGGACAGCAACAAATCCTGCCTACAAGGTATCACTGAAATCCCCACTGGCGCCTTGATCCTCTTCATCCAAATCCTCATTGCCTGCAACACCGACACGCCCAGTCCCGGTCTCAGCTTCTTCAGTTCCCTCTTCTTCAATTCCCTGCGCATCAAGTCGACGCGACATGCCGTGGGCCTGCTCCCAGCTCTGCATGCGCTCAGCCGCAATCTGGTTCTCGAGGCTGTTGGGGTCCATCATTTCTTGATTTCGCGAGAGGAGCCACTCGCGCCACTCGCGGCCTTCGGTGGACATCTTGTATGGAGGGCGATTGCGGTGGCTTTGGTTGAATATCAAAGTTTTGGATGGTTGCAGTGCGGACGGGGGCATTGGGGTGGGAAGGTAGAAAGAGGAGATTGCGGATTAACAGACCTTGGACATATAAGTTTGGTCTGAAAGGCATCAATCACTAGAGGAAACGTTGGGGGTGTACCCCGTACCCTGACCAAATGGATCCAGTGGCGACTGATTTAGCCCTGATGTCAAACACCGTTGAAACCATGGGATCATGATCATATCCGATTCAATCATGTTTCTAGAAGCACAACAACAGCTCTGTGAACAGCCTTTTGGAGCTCAAGTGCACTAGGGAGGATTAACCACACCAATCATGTATTACTACCTATATACCTGAGGAACGGCCAGTCGACCTACAAGACTAATATACACGCATGATATTCTGCAGAGCAACGGCACCGGCCCTCAATCACAAATCATCTGAGTCCCTCTCGCCGCCGCTACCCCCAATATCATCTCCCGGCTCGACAGCCCCTCTCATCGCATACTGCTCCGGCCCAGGAAGTCCGGCCCCCTCATCTTCAACTTCCATAGCGTGCATTCCCCGTCCATTGGGCTGTAGCTCCGCGTTTTCCATCTCGAACGAAGACGTCGGTGGTTCGTCGAAATCAGCTTCTGCTTCGGGTCGCAGGCTGCGGCTGCTGTTTGAGCCGCTGATCACGTTGTCGTGCGGCTTCCAACCGGCGTGAAGGGCTTGTTTCTCGGCCGGGGTTATGTTCATGCTGATAAGTAGGGGTTGTCGAGGAATTGCGTATATTGCGTTAGTAGAGGAGGGATGGATAATAGAAGCTGCCCGCCTGCAGGGAATATGTCTGGCGTAAGGGATGGAATTTCACTATAGGATATGAAGGCAGAATTCGGAGTTCGTGGTTCTGCGTGGGATCTTCTAGGCCCCGTCTGTGGTGCCCTTGTATCAGGGGCCGCATCAAGGTACCTAGGTATGTCTTGGGTCAACGTGGCGGTGGGTGACTTGTACTGATGTCAAGTGGTTATGTCAGTGTACATCATCATCTGTTAGTTCAATGACGTCCGTTGACGTGCTTTGGCAGTACCATAATGAAACCAGTGGATGCTATGGACAATGGACAGACAGGTTATCAACCCCCACTATTGCCATGCTCTTAGATATGTTATCATGGATATCGAGTGATTCATCTGGCAGTCGATCTATGATTTGTCGATGCAATATCCAGATCGTGCGGATGGGCTATATTATATGCACAGATTCACGGCGTTATACATGTAAAAGATATCCAGATGTCTCAAACACACTGCCCAAACATGCCCTAACAATATACCTCAACATCCCGGCTCACGAATTCAACTGCTCCCCCTCATCCTCCACCCCGGTAATGGTATACCCCTCCATCTCATCACCCGGCCTCGCCTTAGCGCCGAGTCCAGTATGCCGGGACGCGATAGGGTCAAAGTCCAGCGTCTCGTGTAGTTCGTCGTCGGCTTCGGCGTCTGAACTGAGGTGGTTCTTCTGCTGAGTCTGTGGTTTCTGCGATCGGGCTTTGCCGGTATCTTTAGGTGGTTCCCATTGGCCCTGGTCTGGGCGGTAGTGCGCGTAGCGCTCGGCGGGGGTTGTGTCTGTGGTGTATTGGGGTTTGCTAGACATTTGGATGGGTTTTGCTTTCTTTCAGGACACGGGGGGAAGGATGGATTTGGCACGGAAGAGAAGGATGATTTGCCTGTTGAGGTTTTGTCTGGATGGTGACTAGGTATGAGAATGTGTATACGGATGGAATGATGAGGGGAGATTCTGGGGAAGCTCTGGGTCTCGTACCCTGGGGGGGCGATGAGCTCAGCCTGATGTCAGCCCTACGATCGAATCAAAAACCGTGCCAGATTCTAGATCCCGCACAGAATCCCTGGTTTCAATTGAAAGAGCCGGCGGGGTCATATCATATACCCCGTATCTATTGCATCTAGCACATCGCAATTGCAATACATGTCGCGGCCAGGTTTCAACATACATCATCATCCCGCCCCGAACTAAATAGATGCCCTTCATCATCCACGCCATTAACCGTATATCTTCCAGGCTCAAGCACGTCCAACTCCCGAGGGTTCCTCCCACCCGTCTCCGCAGCAGCTGGATTCCCAGCACGATTTGAGTCGTTCAGATCGCCGGTGTCATCCACAAAATATAGATGCTGGGATTGCATCTCGTCGAAATCGGCATCCGCATCGGCATCGCCTATCACGCCTCGATCATCGGCAGAACTGTCGGGGAAATAGTAGGCTTTGTAGTCTTCGGTGGTTTTGTATGGTCTGGCGGACATCTTGCTAGGGCTTGGGCAGTGGGATCGCTGATTGGGAAATGACAGCCGATGAAGGAAATTCGTTAAGGGAAGTTTCGTAATTTAGATATGATCTTTGATGGAATGACCTGCCGTTGAGCTTTTACATATTTTATTCTGGTGATGGGGCTTGATTTCACCGTGATGTCAGTCTGGAATAGACGCCTCCAGTACTGCCTGTTCAACTTCAAGGCCATACTAATCCAGAAGACCTTATGTATAATACAATGAATCAGATGGCACAGGTCTACTCGACACTGCCTACTCCACCCTGCCATACATTTGATACCTACAACCACCCTGTTCCGCAAGCATCATCCGGAAAGTGTACCACAATGTGCCATTGTAGTTATCTTCCCTCAATCTCGGCTCCTTCTTTTCTCGCCTGTCCCTTGGAATTTGCGCCCTCGTCCGCATTCAAGTCCTCCGCTCCGCCATGGTCTAACCTGTGCATATTGTTCTTGTCGTCGACGGCATTGATATCGTGATATGCATCTTGCACGTATGAAAAATCTGGCGATTCAATGCGTTTGTTGGATTTTATTAGAATTCACATATGGCATTTCAGAGCGAAAGTTGACGGGCAGGTGCTCTTATGGTAGTATACTAGCAAGAGATTTCGCGTTACAGTTAGTGGACAATCATCTCGAAGCAGACATCAAGGATCCCTCGCAGCTATGGGCTGCCAGAGTAAATGCTACTTAACGCAGGTCAGACCTGGCCTTGAAGCAGGCCGATGAGGAGTCCACGCTTGTTTCGTTGGCGAAGCTCAAAACTTCGGCTCTCTCTGCCTTGATTTATCATCTCCACGTGTTGTGGTCTGGTCCTACTTCGGTCATAGGTTATTCTATTTAGTTACGGTGATACTCTTCTCTAGTTGGTAGGAGATATTCCCTCAATCCATGGATATACTCTGGGTAAACTGGGTAATGAAGTCATCTTGAAATATAGATAAAGTTGAGTCGGCCCAGATGTCCAAAACCTTACTACTACGCCGGAGACCCTCTCGACGAGCCCCCCGTCAACTTTCCGCAATATATTGCAATCTGATTTCAACAGGACAGCAGACATGTGTACATACAAAGGAGACCCGACATCCCTGGATCCTCTAGTAAAAATATCCTCCAGAATGCGGATACAAATCTTCATATCTTCCAGATCCTCCATATCCTTGACCCGTAGCGGACCCATACCCCGAACTGTGGGCACCACCAGCTGGATTAGGTCCCCTCACCATGTGAAGATTGACCTCGCTCCCATCAATCCTATTTGATGATCATCGTCAGTTATATTTCTCTAAGGATAAGTAAAATGGAGAAGGACCCATGCACGTACTCTGTGTGATCAAACAGGTTGATGCACTTCTCGGCTTCGGAAGTGTGCCAGGGAAACTGGATGAACCCCCAGAGTCGGCTGTCGCCGGTATCGGGGTCCGTCATGATCGTCTAGAGTATCTTGATCAGTTGAGTTCGCGAAGAGACATGGATGGATTAATGATGTGTGACCAACCGTGCTGGGATGCAGGCCATGCTGGGCTAGCAGGGCGTCGATGGTCTCCGCCGTGGTGTGGTCGTCAAGGTGTCCGATATAAGCTGGGCTGGTAAGTTCTCCGAGATAAACTTGCCCGTTGGTCATTGTTTTAATCAAGTGTTATGAGTAAAGGCTGGGAGTGGTGTGAATCTGTTATAGAGAGTTTGACTTTCTTCTCGTGGCTATATATCTATCCCGAGGTCGCTTCAGTCACCGGTGATGTCACTGTACATCCACCAGGGGGAGACGACTGGGCTTCAAGTCGTCATATTGCATACATCTACGTATATGTCGAGTACGAACAGATGCTGCACACATCACTCTGGCGCAATGCGTTACCCAGCACGGGGCCACTCAGTCCAGTATAGAATGTATCTGCGACGAGCATTGCAAAAGAAAGCAATATGGCGTAAATAAGACGTACATTCCAAGGTTGTGGCAAATAAACTCGGAACTATCAAGAAATTAATCTCAGGCTCGCAAGGAGTGGCGGCATTTCAGTTCTTAAGGTTGCACATGAGGTCATTCTCTTAGGTTTCTTTTCAACAGAAAGTCAATCATTCAACCCGGGCCAGAGCAATGTCTCACACTTTTGGCTGTCGGCAAGAGTAGTTTATGCTTTGACACATGAGGAAACCCTTGATAATAATCTCGGGGGAGGACCAAGGAGGGAGGGAGAGAAACAGGTTCCCTGGATAAAACGTAACTAATAATACTATAGAGCGGTCTGATCCAAGCTTCTGAAACTCCCTGTGGAGACAAACAGTAAGATTTGATTCTCTACTTGGCTTTTCTAGGTCTTCATTCAGACCACACCAACTCTTCTGGGCTTCCATTCTCCAGGACCACATTGTATTCATTAAGAGAGCCTGCCACTATTTAGTGAATGAAAGAGCATTATTGGAGGGTACGACTCCCATGGTGGCGGCGACGAATAGCTTCCTCAACTCATGCACATTGCGAAGATCAGACTGTAATGACCTACTGGCTACCCAGCATATGTAGGTCACTTGATGGCAACTAGACAATGAATCGCCCCTACTACCACGGCACCCAAGTGACCCCATTCCCAGGGAGTCTAGCAATATACCCAAGGACCTCAATCGGCAACGTATCAGGCCCAGGCTGTTGCTGTTTCCTTGTATATAAGACCACTGGCCCGCGCGTGACTTTCCCCCACCACAACTTATCTTTCACGCAACCCACCTGCTCCACCGAGGCAAGCCTTCTACTCCCGTAGCAGGATCGATACGCGTCCTCAACCGCCTCGTCACTTACACCTGGGACGTGGAAGTTCTCAGCGCGACCCGGACCCCTCTCCTGCTGGGTTACAGCTCCAGCTCCAGTTGGAATATAGGTCCCCGCCCAGCTAAGACACGTGTTAAGTCTGTGTATAGCTTATTCATTAGCAGCTAAATGCAAGGTTGTGGGCATCTCATAGGCGCTGTATACCGAGGATCTTCGTATTGGGTCGAAGTGTTGGGTTGTGGGCCCCGGACGTGGTTAGGACAGTTGGGCTGCTCGAGCATGTGGCGCTCTAGCTCTTCGGCTGTGATGGGTCTGGGGGCCATAATTTGCCTTGATTTAATTATAGAGTGTGTGGAGAGATGCCACTGGGACACTTGGCAGAATGTGCGAGCCAGTAAGGTATGGATGAAAGAGTTGGGGAGAAGTGCGCTCAAGCCTGATGGACGGCAATGGAGGAAAGATGGCTAGGCAGGACCGGAATGATCTGGCCTGCTTTCTGGAGGCTATCCTATGACAAATCGATACTCGGTCAAATATCAGAGGATACCCTTATTTGATAGTTGCGTGACTCTCCCCGTACCATGGCTCAGGTCATGTCAACCAAAAGCCTTTTGACCATCACCACAGCGGAGTCCCGGTTTCAGCTTCTACCGCAAGAACAAATGCCAGTGGTTTATTAGACATTGGAAAACGTGAAATTCGTACTTTCTATGCCAGGAAACGACCTCAGTCAAAGAACGAAGGGGACAGTCTTCAGCCATCGTTCTTCCCAAACCCTGCAAATAGACTTCAAAGCTTCAACTGCATCGAAACCACTATCGCATGACTCAATCCCTCTCAGCCCACTCCCCCCTNCACCAATCTCCACCTTCTCCGGATCATAATCATCCCCAAAATCATCGGTCTCCTCCGCCGCGCTTGCAGCGAAATTTCTGCCCAGGGGCGATTCAGGTTGACCACTAAGGTCCTGCACGCTGCTGGCCCGCGCGTCGCTCCCCTGGATGTTGCCGGAGTAGTGGGCTGGCTGCAGGTCAAGCAACGAGGGTTTGAAAGTGAAATTCTCGAATTCGTGTGTGCCGGGCGTGTAGTTTGTTGGGTTGGGGTTGTCCATTCCAAGGTTGTGAGGTATTGGCTTCAAGAGCGTTGCGCTTATGACGGGACCAGGTTTGGGATATTGCAGGACTCTAAACAGAAGGAAACGCTCTATACGAGACAAACATCAGTCGTTATCGACTATATAGACGTCCACGAGTGCACTGCGCTGACACCTGGGCTAGGTAATTCTGATGTCAAAGCTTATGGTAGGTAACGTGGATAACCGTATGTGGAGTCCGAATATGGACCCCCTTTTGTTATTCGAGGAATATTCGAACCGCAAAGTATTGCCAAAATCTTGCATTCATAGGCCGGCCTTGCGAGTCCAATACTACACAGAAAAGGAGTTTCTTTATCAGGTCACCTATGCCCCGAGAGCGCTGGCACCTCAATCGACATATGTTATCTCCTTACTGCACAAACAGCTCATCATCAAATCAAACGCACCTATCGATACAAGAAGTCCTCACTTGTCTAATCTCATTACACCTTACTCGACGTAGTCTCAACCTCGTCCGCCTCGCCCGTATTCACATCATCAAAGTCCAGTTCCGCCTCAACCTCGTCCTGATCGAATGCAGAATTTCCCAGACCAGACTGGGATTCAAGATCGTATTCAGCATCGTCAGAATCAGCGGTTGTGTCGTGCGTTGCATTTGGATTTCGGCTCGTCCAGGGATAAATGTGCAGCCACGGATTGGAGTGCGGAGTTGCATGGCGCTGCATGTATGCTGTGTTCGCGGGGAAGTCTGACATCTTGAACTTGAGCTGTACTGCAAGGAGAGATGGACGGAGAAGATAGGACGTATTTGATGGAAGGTATAATGTTACTTTGATCATACCGCTGCTGCAGTAAGCGATTGACGGGTTCCGTTATCCCCAGGAAAGACTGGAAGCTCCGTGCCCTTATTTCGTCTTCGAAGGCGATACGTGTGGATGGAAAGTAGCAAAGAATGATGTCAGGCGGCTCCGTACCATGTCCTGAGGGTTCATGTGGTTCGGCTCGCCAATGGCTCTCACGTTGAATAGGGCCTATGTCCACAGTGCTGCACATTACCATGAATTCATACGAGGAGACAGGTCTAGACTCCCCTGGACAACGGCCTAGAATGCGCGGTGGATCTCCTCCCTTGTCGCCTCAACGTAGGATAGACCTGGACATGGGTATCTAGGTACTAGCATCCATATAAAAGTCAGCGCCCGCCTTCCGACCTCGCCTTGCATCGCCGCAGATAATCATCCAATCACTGTGTCACTATACACTCAGGACCATCAATACAGAACCAGAACCACAATGTACAGACCCGACTTCACCCCCCGCACGCCCCAAAACAGCATCTCCGAAGACCACCGCTCCATAATCGACCAGCTGGCTACCCTCCAACACGGTGGCAGCAGTCGCCAGGGCACCAGGCAAGACAGCGAGGGGGGTTCGATCACAGTTGATCGGCCGCTGTTTACGATGACCGGGGAAGCCAGACAGACTGCCCCTCGGCAGACGTCAGAGGGCGGTCATGCGAGCCGCAGCAGTGTGGATTCCGATGCTAGTGCCAGTGCCAAATCTGATGGGAATGCTGGGGCCGGCTCTGACGGGAATGCGCCGGCGTTCGCGAATAGACTGTCGAATGTTTTTCGGAAGGGGAGTGCGGATATCCGGGAGTGGAAGGAGGATTGAATGTGGTCTTATATATGGATGATCGGGATTGTATATTACATGGAGAGGTATATGGCTATATTTTCTTTCACTTTGTTAAACTTAAGCAGAAATTATGAGCAGAAGATATAATTTTCAGGTTACGCTTCTGATGACCGGCCCAGAACGACTACACCGATCGGTTTGCTCAGTGGTTCTCTAGGGACTGTATTTGATACATAAGCATTGGCGTCAATCGATTAGCAAATCCTGACGATGCATAAGGAATCCCTTGGTAATGAGAAAGTCGTCATTGAGCGGGAGCAGAGGAAATCGGGGCAGATAACAGCCCAGGTCCACTGACAGTTAGATGGAAGTCTTCCTTGTCAAGATAATATCAATGGCGGATGTGTCGTTTACCAACTAATTAATGACCTTCTCAATTAAATACAGTCTTATTAGGGTAAGTTCAATTGAGGAAATGGGTTTTGTTTGTATTGAGAAATGGCTGGTATTGCCTGCTATATACAAATGATCTCTCTCCCAGATGGCAATATGAAGAGATCATGAGGGTGTGCCCGCCCAAGCAGCGAACCAGGACAACAAGAAAAGGAAAGTTGATACCAGGATCCTAATAACATGTGCACACAGAAATCCATGATATCACATAGTATGAATTATGGTACGCATTGGGCAGCACGCATACTGGGATCAATGGCAAAGTTGAAACAGCAATTAGGCCTCCGCATCCCTCTTCATACCCTCCTGGATCCAATCCCCAGCAGCACGCCCCCTCGCATCCAACTCCTCGTCAGAAAGCTTGTTCAGTTCCAGATAGATATGCGGCTGTGGTGCATTCCTGCCCTCCTCGAAGCCGGGCCGCTTCAAGAGTTCGTAAAGCCATTTCTGCACATGCGGGAACTCATCAATGCTGGACAAGCCGCTGTATCCTGCCGTGCCCAGTTGTCAGCGGTTATATGGTACCTGCTTGTGTTTATACAGTAGGTATGGATGGTAGACTGCCCATGTGGGAGCACCTACTATAAGCAGCGACCCAGTTCCACAAGGCGATATCAGCAACCGTGACGCGGTCCCCAACCACGTAGCCGGAGTTGCTCTTCTCAAGATGGGTGTCGAGAACGCGATACAGACGGCGGGTCTCGTTGACATAGCGGCCGATGGCGTACTCGTGCTTCTCCGGTGCCATTCCTAATGTGAAAGAACGCGAATCAGGCATATCTTCAAACAAACAAATATACACCTGCAAGCTCGTCATACTTGCGAAATGATTTGCTTGGCCTTGCATTGGGCCAACTCCTCCCATCTGCCACATTAGCTATGGTATCAATTGTTGTCAGCGATAAACGACCAGCTCATCATCAGGCCGAAGTTGCCACGGGCAATGACGAGACTGACCCAATTGACCGTCTCCCAGTATTCGGGAGAGTCGTAAGGATAGGACACCTTGTGGTCTTTGTCGTACCGGGCCACGAGATACAGCAGCATACTGCCGCTCTCGAAAAGCGTAATCTTATTCCCATCATCGTCCTCGTCGACGAGAGCGGGAATCCGGCCATTGGGATTGATTTCGAGAAACCACGGCTCCTTCTGTTCGTGCTTGAATATATTGATCGGGTGCAGCTTTGGAGAACGGGGGTCAGTCGGCAATTCAAGACCCGCGGGACAGGGCATGGTACCTTGTATTCTAGACCAAGCTCGGCCAGCAAAATGGTTGGTTTCAGGCCATTTGGGGTTCCCTCGGTATACAGGGTGATACCAGTCTTAACTCCCATGTTCGGTGCCGAGATCGATTCTTTTGTGGGAAACAACACAATTTTTGTCGCAGAATCTTTGACTTGCCGCGGATTGAGGAAGGCAGTTGTTCTGTGATGGGAGGCAAGAATAAATGAGAGGGTTCCATGAGAATTATATACCGCCAGGATCTTCCTCGCCCTCTGCCTGCTACATGATCCTGGTGGATATCGTTTTCGGTCTCATAACTCTCCGCATGCAAGAATGCTTACGAATCCCGGTTTCTTCCGCGGATTTTTTTTATTTGTAATTCTTGGCCTGTTATTTCGAATAAAGGATATGAGGGACTGGCTTAGATCCTAAATGTATAAGCCTTGGTTGTATAAGCAAGGTGATTTTTGTCAGCACAGGTTCCGTCGGAACCAATGGATAATTTAGATACATGTAGTCAGTTTACATCATGTACGCTATGCCATCTATAGAAGTGCAGATGCATGCAGGTGCCATTGCCGATTTTCAATCAGTTGCTGGGGCTTAAACCCTCGCAATAGCGGAAGAACATACAAGCCACAATCGCTGGCAATGACGATTTTTCAAAAAGGAAGAAAGCCTCTCGCATCATGCCTGAGGCCCAAGCAAGGCTCCCAGAAATGCAGAGCTATGAATAAGTCCAAAATCAGTTCCGGATACTTTATGAGTCAATTGTATTGAGTTCATCGACCACATTCGTGCTCCACACCCCTATCCCCTTCGTGCTTTGTTGGTTGCAAATGCTGGCTTGATATCGGTTCCAGTCCACCTATAAGCTCAATCTCACGCGGGTTGCGATGAGGGCCATCAGCACCACATCAGCCGGAGGGCCGTTACGCAGTCCCCGCAATATGGTTCTCATGTCTGGACGGTCCCCCGCCGTTAGGGGTTTGGCCGCCGTTATGAGTTTGAAAAACAATTGATCAACCCTTTGCCCACACCACCCTCATGTCGTGTGCCTCCTGAGAATAATACAATAAGAATTATATTACTAGTATAACATAATATATTGTTTCCTTTTCCCCCCCTCCCACCTTCCCCCTCGGCCATACTTTTTCTCCCAAGGCGTCGGTGATCATGGTTAATAACTTAGGTACATCTGGGGAGTATTAAAAGCTAACAAAGTCGTTTTCGATCTTTTACAGCCTGCTAGATGCAAAGTAGATTGGCTATAGTCAGCAATCCTGATAATCGAGTCTCTAAACTGGACCAAGGTACAATGGTAGGTTCCCAAGTCCCTTCATTTCCATCCATCACGCCGGACCAGTCCACCCACTCCGACAAAGCCACTCCTCAAAAGAAGAGGCCTTCACCCCCAGCTCCTCAAACGAGCGGTCCATATCCTCATCGAAGGCCCCATAACAGACCTTATCCGCCGGCGCCACAGCAGCCCATTCCATCATCTCGGTAGCATCCTCTTTAAACGCCGGCCCAACCAAGGGCACAGTCAACTCTCCGAACTCCTCTGCGGTTATCGGCTCGTGGATCGCGGGCTGCCCGGTGACTTTTGTGAATGTCGCGACCATTTCTTCGGGTGTGACTCGCTGGCTTAGCGCGAGGTATGTCTTGCCGCTGGTTTTTGAGCCGAGAGAGAATACCTCTGCATTGAGTCAACGGGTCAGTCACTTTTCAACAACTGCGGTCTATCCAGTTCAAACGGGGGAGGAGAACTCACTTGCCGCGAAAGCGCCCATGTCGTGGATTGGATCGGTCCACTGTGCCACCTGGTTACTTGGGATGGGGATACGGAATCGTACCACCCCGTCCGCTATTACATTATATCAGTCTCACTGTAAAAGTGCCAAGCCCGACATATTCCAAAGTAACTTACATCGACGGTCGGTATATTGAGGCCAAACCAAGTTCGTATAAAAGAACCCTACACAGGCCTCGCCGTCAGTAAACCACATCCAGCTACACAAGACACCATGCAAGATCGCGAGAAACAAACCAGGAATAAGACAAGTCACCGCCGCACCGAGCCTCCCCCTCGCAATCTTCTCAACCTCGTGCTTATTATCCATATGATAGATCTTGACATATCGGCCCCCCGTCACGCTCACCATATCCGGCAAGCTGCTGAAGACAAAGTGCTTGACGCCGCACTCCTCCGCAGCAAGGACCATGTTCGTCCCTGCGTCAACCTCATGCTTCATCTCTTCTTCCTTTTCTAGGATCCGTCCGGCATTCCTCTCGGACGTCATGGCGAAGACGCCGTGCGCCCCTGCGAATGCGGTTCGGAGAGAGGACTGGTCGTATGTGTCTCCTGGGACGAGAGAGAGGCGGTTGTCGGGAGTCTGGTGGTCGGTGAGGAATTGCTTCGCTCTGCTGGAATTTGGGTCGCGCGTGATGCCTCGGACGTGCCAGAGACCTCCGTCTGGTGTGTTGGAGTTCAGAAGGGCTTGGATGACGCCGCTGCCTTGGTTGCCTGTGGCGCCGACGACGGCTATAATGGGGAGGGTGCTTGGGGGTGACATTTTACTTGGTTCCCGGGAGTCCGATTGCAGAAATATGAATATAAGAGAGGGATCGCAGGGCTGAACAAATCTCAATTGTTTGGAGTAGGACGTAGGAAGATACTAGAAGAGTACAGCTTTTATGGTCTGCTGCTTCGGGCTTGGGATTGATATATCTAGATATTGGATAAAACTAGCCAATCAAGTCCCGTATCGAGGTTATCTCCCTTACTAAAGCCGGCGAGTTCCGCGGAACGAAGTTACCCCGCAAATTAGCAATCGGACATTTACGACAATTCGTCAGATAATCGGACCGTGTCTCCACGGATCCCTATACATAAGTTACCAAGCATAACTGACAGCGTGGCTCCGTGGAGAAAAAGCTATCCAGGGGTACGATGGACTCGAGTAATCCACCAAGAAAGGTATCTCTACACCTCGTATCTAAACACATTAGTTAACGCTCTTTTGAGCAGGCATGCGACCTATGCTATACCCGCAAGCTCAAGTGCGACGGGCACCAACCCCGTTGCTCCAATTGCGTCACCTATGCAAGAGAGTGCACGCATGCTGCTGCTCCCCGTCGCAAGAAGCCCAAGGTACAACGTCATAGCGCCACCCAAAAGCCGGATAATCCTTCAGCGCCAAGAAGCCAATATCATGCGATGCATCGGGCCAAAAGGATCGGGGAGAAGCCCGTCAGACGGGAAGCGGAAGCGCAGGTCGCAGCTGGATATCAAGCAGCAGATGACTATGGCCATGACGAAGCAATCGGCTCGGGCGCGATGAAACTCCCCCCACTGCAAGAGGCCATGGCCCTGGTTGGAATCTTCCTGAGAACATGCAACTCGGTCCTGCCGCTTTTCCACACAGACACGCTTCTACGCATGGTCGGAAAGTGTTACGCCCTTCGACCGCGACAGCGCGACCCGGTCGTTTGGGCTGCCATCAACGTCGTCTTCGCGCTGGCAAGCCAGCATATGCCAAGCGCCTCTATCGAAGATGGGGTGTTTCAGCACCAGACCTCACGCACGGCCGAGTATTATCTTAGCAAAGCACAATCTGTCATGGCGACGGTGATGCAGAGCGAGACCCGCCTCTTGAACATCCAGACCCTGCTGGGGATGGTAATGGTGCTGCAGACCTCGCGCGACCGCACTCCATCATTGATGCTGATATCCGCGACCATGCGCCTAGTGCACAAGCTGGGCCTCCACGACCGCTCTGCATCGGCACATCTAGACCCCGTAGCACGCAGACAGCACGCCCGCGTGTTCTGGATAGCATACATCCTCGACAAAGACCTCAGCCTGCGTGCCCAAATACCCTCCATTCAAGCTGACGACGATATAGACATCGACTTACCCTGTTCTTCGCCAGTGACCCCGGAAGACAACGACCACACGGCCGGCACCGTAGTTATGACAGACGGAAAAGCAAGCATGAATTACTTCCTGGCCCGTATCCAGCTTGCCAACATTAAAGGCCGCATATATACATACCTCTACTCCAGACGAGCCCTGAACCAGAGTCCCCTGGACCGTATCACGGCACGACAGGGTATAAGTCTCGCACTGGATGAATGGCGCGCGTCCATCCCGCTGCACTTCAGCGCCGCGGTCATCACACAAATAACAAAGAACCCCGCGAATCTGGGCTTCTCCGTTGTCCTCCACGCCAGCAGTCTGCAGTGCATGATGCTCCTCAGCCAGGCGCAGGGCATGGACGAGCAATGGGTAACAGGCGTGCAGAACTACAGCCGTGGAGTAACAAGCGCCCTCCAGCTCCCGCCATGCTGGGAAATCCTTGTGCAGGAGGCGCGGGCTTTCATGCTATTGTTTCAAGAGGTCTGGGCGGGTGCTTGGTTCCGCTGGATCGCGGCGTGCCCGTACGCGTCTGCTGCGATGTTGCTGGCCGCGAATAATCTTCTCGACGTCCGTCATTCGAAAGTTGACCTGGATATGGGGCTCGTTGATGCTGCGCTTGTCTGGCTCGATGAGATTATGGTGGAGTTGGCGTCAGATGCTATGAGGCGGTTTCGGGGAATTTGTATGGAGGCTGTGAGGACGGTGAAACAGAGACGCGCTGTGTATGCTTTGGCTTGAGGTGGGGAGATTATATATATCCAATGTGTCAATGCAGTGCGACAGACAGTATGCTCATCCTGAGGGAGCGCAATTCTAGCCTGCGGTTTTTGACTTCTTTTATCCTTTTATCCTCCAGTCTAGACAATTGTTTGAGTGCAGAAGAACGTCACCTAGTTTTGATAATTGGTGGTTGCTGATACATTAAAAAAAAAAACTAAAAAGAAATGCTCACAAGCGGACTTGAACCGCTGGCCTCGTGATTACCCGAATTGGATAATTGTTGTTTTTACTAGTCACGCGCTCTACCACTGAGCTATGCGAGCTGATTGGTTGAACAAGTGTCATTTGGTTTGATACAAAAGTTAAACTTATTTTTCTCCAAAGGACCAACCATGGTTCTCAGTCTGCGACGTACAGAATCCTTGCTGGCAAATGTTCTCTTATATAATCCCCATAAAAGCATGAATCCAGTCTAGTTACTAATAGCAATCTGTTAGCTGACCCTGATGTCAGTCAACTCCATTGAGCAAGTGGCATATGCTTCCGCGTCCACTGTATGGCTGAATAGACTACCTTGTGAAACACATATCCTTTTCACTTGAAGGCTTCTGCTGCCAATACAATCTTGACAACACTCTGGAGTTCAACAAACAATTTAGTGTACTCAACATCAGGTAGCGCAAAATACAATTATTCACTCGTGCTCCAAATACCAGTCTACCCTAGGTCTAGGTACAATCCAAAAAAAAAAAACACACTTAACCCCCAATACTTTTCAATCAACAACCCCTCAGACCAGCAGACCCTAGTCCTCCTTCACCCAATCATGCATATCCTTCTCCTTCCCCCGCGTATTCGGATTCACCCCCTGCAGCATCGGATTCCGCACCTCCTGCTGCTCGCCCGTCCACACATTCTCCGGCATGTCGTGCGCATGCCCGCCGCTCCCCGGCATATTGGTCGTCCCCTGCATGTTGCTACTCATCCGGCGCGGGATGTTGCTTGTTTGCATGTTGCTGTCGCGCATGTTGTTCGCCTGCATGTTGCCCAGCGTGCCGGAGTACTCGGCGGGGCGGACGCGGCGCTGCTGCGAGCGGTTGTAGGAGAATTCGTCGTCCATAAGCTTATATTCCGCGGAAAGATGGAGTGCGATGAATATGAATCTGTGTAGGAGACGGCTTGCAGCTGATTTGGATCTGGTTTGGTAACGATATGGCTGATTTGGAATTCAGGGTGATTTGCGAGGAAGTGCGGGCGCCGTTGATAGAAATACTTTCCAGGACTTCTTCAACTTCGAATGCGTACACCGTTGAAGTCCAGGTGGCGGTTGGTCTAACCATGATGTCAGGTATACCCGGGTTACTCTACTGTGACTTGTTGTTGACATAGATGCCGGATGTATTATCCATTGCATGAATCTGGGTCTTCTGACGCGCATTATACGCGACGTGGCACGGAGAATGGTTCGCAACGGGCTTTTGCACAGGATGGAGGATTCAACTGCTATTTTGTATTGGTAAAGGTCGTGCTATCTAGCAAGATATCAATGCCGAGTGAATCCATACGTGGACGTTTTGGGCCCCAAATAGAATGGGGACTTTTCTGCAGGTGTAATCGCTATTCGGTGGTATTATTCAGGACTTGCAAATAACATATCTAATCACTCTATTTCTCCACTTGTAGCTTGTAGGTACAGCTGTTCTTCATCATACTCAAAACACCACAGAGCGCCTTACATGGAATCAACCTCATCCTCCTCCTCCCCAATGCCATGCTCATACGACTCCGGCTCAACACCGAACTCATCATCGTCCTCCGCCTCCGCATCGACATCATCCCCCTCATCTCCACCTCCCAACACATTCATACTCCGATAAAAAGGATCACCAGCCGTCGTGCCGTCCCAGCCAGGCCTGGCATAGTGGGCTGGGGGCTCAAGGTACTCGCTGGCGGGGTCATTCTGCACGTCGCTCATGTCGGGCAGGGTCCCTCTTCCCAAGGGACGTATTCTGTGCTGGGAGCCGCTGGTGACGTTGTATTGGGTGTTTTCGCTCTGGGGTTGCATTGTATATGAATAATTCCAAGTTGGAAAGAAGAACTCTGGCGAGAGGTATGTGGAATCTGGTAGGGTGTTGTTTGACGCTCTGTGGCACTTGGCGGCGTTGCAAGACAGATACTCAGCACGGATGGTTGATCCTGTGGTTTGTGCGGATACGTCTATATTTTAGGGTTGTCGGTGTCTGGAGGATACCTATGATATGGTAGATAGTGGCGGTGGACCTAAGGCTGACATCAAGCAAGACACGATCCACTCGCCACCTGTTCCATGGGTTATGCCAGTGCTTTCCCCGGGTAAATCTTAAGCATTATTGGACACCAGTATGACAATTCCATTTCTTTTCATGTTTATGTTCATGTACTCGAGTCTTACTCCCAACTGAATATCATTAGTGCTTTGATATTAACAATCAAAGAAAATAAATTGAGTATTGCATGGAATAATAAATACAAGTACATAATGCATTCCACAGTCGAAATCATTTCAAATTCCACTTATTGAAACCCATAATACCCATCCCCGGCCTCCTCACCCCGATCTGCCGCACCAGTACCTCCCATCTCATAGCTCTCCGGCTCATCAACCATATCGGCATGCGCATCCACATCCGCAGTCTCATCCGCATTGCCAGAGACAACGGCCTCATCCTGCTGTGCCGCAGACGGGTTCATGCTTCGCGCCATCGGGTTCGGGATCAGGCGGCCGTTAGTGCCAGAATACATGTACTGGGGCGGAGCCTGCTGGCCCTGATACCAGGGTGGCTTGTTGGGCATGGGAGCGGCCATCTGTTTGGCTGGCTGCATTGTGCTTTCTGGTGTGGTTTGGGTTAGGCGGTGCTGTCAAGTGTGTGGATGAAAGAGAGTTGTGGTGAGTTGTGCGGTTGGTGGTTTTGACTTGGATTTTCTCACACCTGAATCAAAATCACTAGCTTGTCTAGAAAAATTTGATTGCTTGAATAGCCGGGATGTGATGCGTCTTATGTGCTAGGGTGGCTTCAATGATTCTTTGGCTTACTGGGGAAGGTGGCGGCTGATCTAACCCTGATCTCAGTGAGATGGACAACCCTAGGTCGGGAGCTATTGCCTCGCACGTTGGGAGCAATTCTAGGTAGATATGTGAACTACGGCGCCTCTTCACTAGTATCAAGGATTTGACGTCTACCACCATCAGTCTCGAACCTCTAGTTCCACCCGCTCATAGGCTGTTTCTGTGCATGGACAGAAGTGACCTCGGGAGGTACAGAGGGGTTGTGGACTCGGAGTATTCGGATGATGGTCAGTGGTTGCTGGGTTTGTTTGTCTTGATGGTATGAACCTTAAAGCTATCTTCATATCAGTATACTGGGCACGATGTTGGATACCGTATATATGAGAAGAAGTCTCAATTACAAGTGTACGAGGGATGACACTAGAACCTGTATGATGATATATACAGCTTGATATTGTATCAATACACCTGAAAGGTTGCATTGGTGGCGCTTGATCTAACCTTGATATCAAAATTTGGTGTAAAGCACGTTTTTCAATGTTCATGGTAGCTCTAACCCTAGTTCCCATTCTCCTCGAAATTGACTGGTCGATGGCGATTATCTGCCGTAAGAATCTATGGTTGCGTGCCGCGACTGAGTGGGACATGACAATAGTCGTGGTCCGTAACGACGATACTGGATCTGTGGGGTTCAAGCTCCATCTGCTCCATTCCAAGTATTGATGCTCCACTTGATGTTATTCTCTCCACGTGGGTCTTGGGGTTAATTTAAGGTTTAGACTGATGGATATGAGGTTTTTGACCCTTTTTCTCCCGGGCAGTGGGGACCGTGTTTGAAAAAAACAGTTGTGTTTAATACAGTCTGCAAGTTCGTGTATTTCACCAACTGTCGCTTGCGGGGAATGTGTGTTCCGCCAATGTCGGACATGTTCTTCCGAGGACGCTGTGGATATTCAACAACATTGGCAGTCCATACCAACCAGTGCAATGAATAATAGACTGCCGCCGGGGTAGGTTCGATGTTCCGAAGATAGCGACATAGCAGAGCCAACGGCAACAGCCAAGTATGATCAATCCTCGAAATGCCCGGCGACATGGTGTGCAACGGCTGCCTCGTCGCCCTCAAAGTCACCACAGACCGGACAGACCACAACCACAGTTTCAACGACCTGCTCTTCCTGGGCCCCTTCGAGGCCGTTTTCACGACTCCCGCCCTTCCCTCTCCGCCGTGGCTTCGTGATGTACGCATCCAACCCAATCGCCTGGGTGGGGGGCTCCGGAGCATCCCGAGACCTCGACCCAGTGTTGCGGAAAGTTGTATTTACAGGCCCTGTCGCTGGAGAAGATTCGGTCTGTCCACTAGCTGACGCTGTACTTGCCATAGATTGGACTCTCCCGACCCGGCCATCCGTAAGCCGGACTTTGATGCCGCGCGGGTGGTTTCCCCGCGTGAGCAATGTGGCCACCGTGCCAGCGACTGTGCGACCGGTTGGCTGATCTTTTTTCAAAACGATGTTGACGCTTGCGCCGGGGATGACGTCTTTGGTTGTTGGTACTGGCGGCATCCTGGCATTAACAGAGGTGTTGGATTTGGTGGGAAAGCTGTGTGTGGACAAAAGGGAAGAAAATTCATGCTTACTAATTATGCTCAGCTGGTGCTGCGGTCACGTGCCCGTAATGCAGTGTATAAGCAGAGGATTAACATCTACAACACTACCAGTATTCTATACCATAAAGGTATGGATTAATTGCACGGGGTAGAAAGCCCAGTCTGAGAGTCTCAACATGCCTCGGGATTACACCATGCTGATGGCTTGGTAGTAATGAGTCCAAATACAACAGTCGGATGCGGAAACCTGATACAACCAATATTTTAATGCGGTAGTATCTAATTCATTTTGCTATGGAATATGATTGGAAGAGAGAAGCTCTCAGAATCCGGCAAGCAAGCAGAGTCAGACAGGTCCTAGTAGTCGAAAAAGTGCACAGAGCTCTTTGTAGGAGCGTTCCCATCCCCAATACTCCTACTAGCGACAATCAGCGTATCCCGATGGATATAAACATCCTCCAGCACAGCCTCAGCCCCCGTCCCAATCGTAAACTTCTCCGTCTCAGGGTGAATATAATTGTCCGACCCAATGCACAAATCCATCTCGATCAGTTCCTGTTCCTGCGTACCAGCCACCGTTAAGAAAAAGCACGGCCGCGGCCACCCGCGCGGCTCAAGGAAGCACGTAACGACCCAGCCCGTCTCCGCGTGCACGAAAACAAGCCAGTTCCGGAACGGGTCGAGCACGATCTTCTCGTGCATCCGCGCCTCGCTGAAATGGATGTGCAGGGTGTTCTTGTCGCCCGCGACAAACTTGCCCTCAGAGTCGTGCTCGTATTTCGTTATCTCTGCGGCCCATGGTAGACCGGGGACTTTGCGGCTGTGGACGATCTCCGCGAAGGCTGTCCCTTTTTGGCTTGGGAGGTCGGAGAAGACGTAGTTTCGTGTCCAGCCCGGGCGGGCCGAGGTCGTGATGGAAAGGGTCTGCAGGACGGTTCCGGTCTCCGCGTCGATGAAGGTGTGTTCTTGTCGGGTGTTGTTGTCGTCAATGGACTTTGACATGAAGAGGGCTTCGCGGCCGCGGACAAGGCATGGCCCGTGGAAGACTCCGTAGCCGGCGGCGGGCATGTGCATGTCCCTAAGCCAGGCGCCTGTCTTCAGATCATTCACGGCCAGTCTGGGTCGATCGGCTCCGCCGCGCCGGTAGATCTTGCCGTAGGCGATGGCAAACGGAACGGTGTCTCCCTCCCCCTCTTTCTTTTCCCGTCGCTGAACTAGGTATCTGGACCAGATCTCGTGTCCTGTTTCAAGGCTGAGCACGTATTCACTCAACAGCTGGAACTCTACTGAATTTGCTTCCGATTCCGATACCGGTCCCGGGGCCCTTTCGAGGATGTACAGACAGAGGTCGTCGGGGATAACCTTCGCGACGAGGACTTTCCAAGGCTGGTATTCCCGTTCTGTAAAGGTTATGTGGATGCCGTGAGGGGCGCTGTTGCTGTCGTCTTGGTGGTCGAGGCGCCGCCAGCAGATTCTGTTCCCCTGCAGCCAGGCCGCGATGTCTCCTTCCACGGATATGTAGGAGATTTCAGACGGGCTGGTGTGATGGCTTTCGCTCAGTGGTTTGCCCCACATCCAGCGCTGGTTTAGGGGTGTGTCGGCCGGGTCGGTGTTGGCAACTTCAGGTGCATCACTGTCGCTCTCATTGCTCGAAGGGGAGATGGTGGCCATGTTGGTGTTGGCAGTGTTCGACATTGCTGCGATGATGGTTGGAGGCTGGATGGTTGAAGGATTGATGGATGAGGAGGAGATGAGTGAGTGGACGAAGAAAAAACTAGGATATCCATACTACGGAGATGGCTATTTGTACCGAGCAATCAAACGCCCATAGAAACTACTGGCAAAGTTGATTCCGAGCTATGGCGGGGTATTCAAACGGACCATCCCGCAGTCGGCTGGTTTGCCAACATGCTAGAGTATGAACACCCAGCCATGATACGCTGGAGCTAGGTGTAGAATATATAAAGGTAAAAGTTTATTATATTAATACCGTAAAATTACCATATTTAAGCTAGATTTATTATTTATAACTATTATAGCGTGTATTTTAAGTATATATTACTAATCTAATATATAACCTTATTATTACCACCCAGCCAAGCTTTTATTACCACCCTTAGTAAAAACTAGGTGTACATACTTTACTACACCTAAAAAATAGATATATCGCGGCAACGTATCCACTGGATTTCAGTATAACAACACGCTAGCTCCAGCGTGTTCGGGGGACAGCCGACTGCGGGATGGGAGGCACCTTGCACCTCCAGCTCTCTGCGAGACCCAGCCAAGAACACTGATCTTTATAGGAGAATAAACGTCTTGTGCATGATATGCTTGTTGTCTTCTGGGCTGTTGAGTTGGGTAATTGATTCAATCCAAGGGTGAAATAACATTGAGCTCTACTTCCTCTACTGCATGGATGGGTACTATAGTATCCCAACCCTCTAGGATATTCATGGATAGGAATCAACTTTTCCCTTGCAGTCAACGCTCTATAGCCTTCAAACGCTTTATGAACGGGCTAGAATATCGTTGAGAATAAATATCATAGTCTGACAAAATCATTCACTTGGTTCGTGGTGTGTTGACCACTGAAGCAAAATACCCATCGCAACTCTGATAGTAGAGACTCACCTGTGAATCGGCCAAGGGCTTTAGTCCAGCCTTTTGTGGCAATTGCCCATTTGATCTCCACCTCCGTCTATATCAGTACATGTGCCCAGTCTTGCGGTAAAAGGGCTGTTGACATGGCATTAATCCCTCTACGCCTTCCTGTACAGAGTGACCTGCCATGATTGTACCTATAGGACGTACATGGGGCATTCTGCAGCAAGGTAATGATGGGTATCAAGCGGGAGCAATTCAGGCCTTGTCCTAGGTACGTAGTCCTGTAATTCCCTCCGAACTGCGGAGCATGCACGAATTTTGACCATTAACTCTACGCGACAATTGTGGGGCAATTCAGACTTCAGGCCGAAGTAAGATCTTCACTAGACTGTTCAAGATCCAGGGCGATCTGCAGATCCATTGATCTATGAAGACTATGATCTAAGAATTGCAGATCATATCTCCACCACCAAAACAAACAGTGACGACACATTTCGTCAATCGATTGAACCCAGCAGCTGGCTTTAGCAGCAGGCCTGAGAATGTGGTTGGGGCAGCCAAAACGAGACGCAAACAGCTTATTTACTAAAGTCAATGTAGTGATACACTCCGCGCCAACAGCATTCACTCCCTGCGTAAACCAATCATTATCTTGAGGTATATACTCCGTAGGCTTAGTCTCACAGGATATGGAGAGTCAACTGCTGGTGTCAGGCGTAATGCGTTGCTTACAACAACCTGCGGCACTCTTGGCTGTTAGGGCTTCAATTGAGCATCTACCTATAGCAATAAATTTGACTTATTCACGCATACTTCAACGCCTCTTTCCATCAATTGGCCGGTTGGTGTAGTTGGTTATCACGTATCGTTAACACCGATAAGGTCGCCGGATCGAGCCCGGCACTGGTCATTTTTTTGCCCAATTTTTGTCTGCGCCAACCCTTTTTGACTCTTCGTAAGGGAATGCCATGTTGCATCACGAAGAGACGTCTGTTTATGTGTTGCAAAAGACTTAGCAGATGCGTTTCCCTTCCCTTACATCCTTGGTATATGGTTATGCCTACGCTCTGCTTAACTACCATCACCGCCCAGGTCGATGTCATACACATGATTCTATTTCGCGTTGTAGATGCTTGACCGGGCAGTCCACAAGAACATAAGACTGTCTCTGGGGCGCTGATGGTACCAAGTCTAAACAGATTGCCCTTTATCTGGACTTATTGCGGCGCGTAAATGCTATATCAAAATATGCGCTTCCATCCTTGCTAGCTAACCTTGGAACATATCCCTAGGTCCGAAAGGTGCATTAGGTATTTTCGGCTCTCTGCACTGCATGTCCGGCTTCCGGGGCCATATGAAGTGGTGGCCGAGAAAGGCTGTCATTGTGCGGTCTGTGTAACATGCCCCATGCCTTGGTTGGCTCATTCCATCGCAGCATACCACGTTAGATCAACGATGAATCATCAACTGTCCAGTATTTTTCTTATACGCATGTTATCTTACTAGACTTTAAGATAAGCCGGCCATAATCTAGGTATATATGATGCATAGACTAAAATTTCCAGCAAGGTATGGTATGCAAAGAGCAGCTGTAGGCCAGCAAAACCATGGATTCTAGATCTGAGGTTACATTCCACTGTCTATGCGTCTCTTATATACCGGTTATACCCTCCGCTATCCAACAAATCACGATTTATTTAAACTGTCTTTGAACATGTCTAAAGCAAAGCCCATGACTATAGCCGCAGTAAGCAGTACACTGGGCGCTGGCTTAGCCCTACTCTACTCAACGCCAGCCAATGAGAAAGAATCAGTGAACATTCCCACCCCCCAGTCCAAGTCCTTGCCATCTCCAGATGAAGGCCTCGTCATCTTACCAAACGCCCTCACCGAAAACAACACCACAACCGCTGCCATCCAAGAAAAAACCCCTCCCCCAGTCTCGCCAATCGGCATCCTAAAATACGGCAACCCAGGGCCCATCAACGACAAAATCACCGCCATCTCCCTGCACGGCGCCTACGACCGCCGAACCCGCAACCCCTACTGGGTCGCCGAGCACCTAACGCGCGACTCCGTGTCCAGCGTAATCGGGCGCCGCAAGAACAATTTCCGGCAGGACCCGTCCATCCCCGCGACGTTCCGCGCCCGGGTCTCAGACTACAGCAAGAGCGGGTACGACCGGGGCCACCAGGTCCCCGCCAACTCCGCGCGGTGGTCGCAGGAGGCCGTGGACGAGACGTTCAAGATGTCGAATATGTGTCCGCAGGTGGGCGAGGGGTTTAACATGCACTACTGGGCGTATCTGGAGGACTTTTGCAGGAATCTTACGAGCCGGTACCCGTCTGTGCGGGTGATTACGGGGCCGCTGTACCTGCCCGCCAAAGGGGAGGACGGGAAATGGCGGGTTAGCTATGAGGTTATTGGGCAGCAAAGCGCTGGCAGTGGCAGTAAGGATAAGGATGAGGAGCCGTTGCCGAATGTGGCGGTTCCGACGCACTTCTATAAGATTATTTTTGGGGAGGAGGAGAATGATGATCACCGGATTGGGGGGCAGGTTGCGGTGGGCGCTTTTGTGTTGCCGAATGCGCGGATTGCGAATGATAGGGATCTGGGGGATTTTGAGGTTGCGCTTGATAATGTTGAGAGGGCGAGTGGGCTGGAGTTTGCGCAGGAGCTTAAGTCGAGTCAGAGGAGGCGGCTGTGTGAGGAGGTCAAGTGCGATCTGAAAGTGAAGGATTTCAGTGATGCGGTTGAAGATGTGACTGGGTTGATGGCTGGTGCTAAGATTTGATGAAGCCGATGAAGGCATGCTGCTGTTTCTGCTATATTGCATAATCCTGTTATGATCTTGGACACAGGCGGGGGTTTCCCCCATGCTTATGGATATACATCTCGTCAACATGACCGGCTTGTGGTCTAGCCATATATTTAAATGCGCTGCTGGACTCAAAGACCAAACAACGTGTCTAGTTTACCAAACTCCAATTTATGTCATTTTCTTTGGCTATGGCGAGATGCTGGCAATTGTCTCCGGTCCTATACTTGCTTGGCTTTCTTTAACGACTTCTTTCCAAGGTTAGTACATAAGATTAGGGTTCCAATATTTAAGAGTCACCTATCCAGTAAAACGCACACTATCTATTCTCGTCTATAAGGAGAAGAAGGCCGGGGTGCTCCATCTAGAACCCAGTTAATCCCATCGACAACAATCTCCGGCTCGGTCAACTGGACGAAGTGGCCACTCTTCGCCGCAAAAACAAGCTCGCTCTTCGTCGAGATTTTCAAAAACTCCCTCATAAGACCCGCACTCTTAACATCGACCGTCTCAATCAACGCCCTCACATGGCGTCTCTCCTCCTCCGTCCCATTCCCTCTAGCAACACCCGCCCTGTACAATCCACTCCAATCCCTGCTCCTCGTGCCCGCAATCACATAAACCGGCTTGTCGCCTAGCAATGGCTGTTTCTTCCCCAGCTCCTTCTTCCGCAGCGTCTCAAAACTAGACAGGTAATTCTCGTCTTCTTTGCGCGCAATCAACTCATACTTCTCAGTTGCCTCAGCCGCCTTGAAGGCCGTCCACTCCTCCACCGTCAACTTGTGATTCGCCTCCACGCCCCACGCAGCATACGGATCCACCCCCGCAGCAACAGTCCAGAGAACCGGGTCATTCACGTCCATCACCAACGGCGCAGTCTCATGGTTCGCGTCAACGAGCACCAAGCCCGCAATCTGCTCTGTCGTGGTCACCGGGCCCTTAAGGCTAAGCGCAATGAACTCGTGTATCACCACGCCGGCCCAGGAGTGTCCGACCAGGATGATGGGGTTGCGGATCGGCGCATTCTCAATCAGCAGCGAGAGTTCGCGGGCGATGGTCTCGGCCGTTGGAGGGTTCGGCGAGGACTCGGAGTTGTTGTAACCCGAGCGGTCGTAGGTGTAGCTTCGCTGCGAGGGACCGAGGAGGCGTGTTACGGCTTGCCAGTTTAGGGCGTCGCTTGCGACGCCGGAGATGAAGAGGATTACTGGCTGTTTGGAGTTGGTTGGCTCGGCGCCGTGGGTGTAGAGGGCTAGGGAGTGGGTGCCGATGTTGACGAGGCGGGTGGTAGGTGGGAGGGATGTGGAGGGCATTGTGAATTAGGCTAGGCGGAGAGCTCAAATACATTGCGAGATGAAGGTCCGAGTAAGCAGGTTATATAGCAGACTAATATGGTGTTTTGTTGATTTGTCAAGTTTGCAGTGGCCAGTGTGAGGTGATCTAAGCGTGCAATGTAACATTGATTCGTACAGTGATTGGTCCATTCTAACACTAACTGAATGTTTAATCTATTATCTTGCTCTGTGCAGTGTGGGCTTGTTTGTTTGGTTGGGATGAGATCTGATTGGTTCTCCTGTGTGTCTACAATCACCTCATGGCCACATGGTCTTTAGTGGCATACTGTATTTTTAACCAAGGCAATGGGTTGATCTAGCTAGTTATGACTCTGCCATCTATCGCGTCGTGTAGCTAGGCTCTAAGCCAAACGGACAAGGTGGGATGAACACCACAAGTGTTTTGTGATCAAAATAGCTTGTATAGACGAATAGCTTCCCGCTTAATCGCCTTCTTATCCAACTCCAGAGCCAACGCTTCCTCCTCCGCTCGCCCCCGCCGCTGCCGCTCAGCCTCCCCCAAGTCCATAAGCCAGGGTCCGGTGTCCGCAACAATCTGATCCACCAACTCGCAAGGCAGCGGATGCACCTCCGCAAGCTGCGACCGTACCTCCTGTTCCCACCAGTCCCTCCGCTGCGGGGGCACATTGCGCGTCGAGCAGATGCGCACGTACGGGTCCACCAGCCACAACGTTAAAAAGCGGCAGTGTCCAGGCCGAGTCTTATCCGCCAGCTGGAACGGCTCGAGACGGTGTCGCAGGCAGTTCGGGAAAGCGAGCAGGCGCCCCGGAACAACAGATACAGACCCGATCTCCTGCAGCGGCGAGCCATTGTTCTTGACGCCGAACAGTTTCTCCACGTACGGAATATCCCAGCCGTCGGCGTCAAAGGCGAACTCGTCGCCGTTCATGAAAACCATCTGGCTGAATGAAAGGCGGGGAGTCGTGATGTTCTCCATGTCGAAGGCATAGATGGCCACGCCCACGATATGCTCGTTCAGCATGCCCGCCGCGTGCCAGTCCTCGCCTGCGAAGAACGGAGTCTCCGGTGTCAGCTCGATGGCGCGGATCTGGACGCAAACCTGGAGCCCGGCGTGCCGGAACTCGTCCTGCAGCTTGACGGTCTGGAACTCGTGGTCCCAGTCCTCCTGGGCCCGGATCATCTCTTGCTGCAGGGCGAGATCGGTCGTCTCCCACCGCTTCTCCCACAGGTCCGTGTCGGGGTCGCAGTTCTCGTAGTCCTCGCGGCTGACGATGGCCTGGGCCGTTCGCCCTGCCTTCCAGTCTTCGTAGGAGTACGTTGTGCCTGGGTCGGAGTGCTCGAAGCGGAACAGCCGGCTGTATTTGATGTCCACGGCCTCGCGCAGCGATATGCTCGTCTCCCAGTCGTCCGGGAGCTCGCGTGTTTTATTAAACCACCACGAAACCTTCAGCCCGGCCTCCGGTAGAGCGAGATACTCTTTCACGCGCGCTAGAGCACCCTTGTACTCTGCAGTTGATGTGTCGACGTCCAGGGTAGCCGGTAGCTCCGCGGCCCAGTCAGGGTAGGGGTTCCCGCGGGTCCAGTCGACACCGTACGTGCGGATCCGCGGCGGCTGCCGACCAACGGTGTGCCTATACCTAGTGCGCACGTAGCGGTCACGTCTAATGAGGGTCTTGTTCCACGGCTCGATAGCTTTAGAGATCATCTGTTCCAAGGTTCGGTAGAACGGCCGGTGGTCGCGGGGATGCAGGTTGTTGACGTAGGACGTTATGCGCACGGCTGCCGTGTCCGAGCCCTGCGCGCAGAATCCGACCTCACACGGCAGCAGCTGATAGCGCATCGAGTAGTACGCCCGGTCCCGCCGTGATGACACCCACGTATCATCCAGCACCGGCGCTACCTCTCCTTGCCCGTATGTGTTCAATGTCTGCTCAAGGGCAACGCTGCCTCCGCCGCTCAACACCCGCGTGTGTCCGCGCACCAGGGGGTACAGAGAGGGGTCAAGAAGGGTCCGGACGTGCTCGGGCTGGTTCTGGCCCTTGTTGTCGATGTCTTCCAGCGCGACCGTGACAAAATCCTTGATCTCGGCCCTGACGTCGTCGGGGATGAGAGTGTCCGATTTGCACACGCCGCTGCCGGCGTTCAGAACCATTACGAGCCCACCGTTCTCCTGAGACTCGCTTGCTTTGTCGCGCAGCTCAGCTACACACCAGTCCCATGCTCGCGCGCTGACGAGCGGGAAGTCTGGCAGGATCTCGTCTCTCCAGGTCTGCAGGGTGGACGGTTCAAAGACCCGCTCGTTCCACCGCGGTCGCTCGGTGATGCTGTTCATCAGCTTCAGCATCTGGAGTTCGCGGGCCGTCAGAGGTGCCGGGAGCCAGCTGACTCGATGTAGGCTGGCGAACTCTCGATGGCTTGGGAGTTTGAATTCCAAAGGGACGCTGTTAAAGCCCGGTGCCTGCAGCGGGCCGTCCCCTGTGTTGTTGAGCTCAATTTTGAGTAGGGGCGGCATCCTGCGAGTACGCTGGCTGGAAGAGGTACTATAATAACAAGTAGCCGGTAGGTCGTTGGAGATATGATAAATGTGCGCGAGATGCCGAGAGGAAGTTGGCACATGAAGGGTCAAATTGAAGTGCGGAAGAGGACAATCGGCTACGGCAAGAGTCTGCAGGTATGGTAATTACCAGTAAAATACACCAGGGCGTGCACAGCCTGGGCAACATGCATTTATATATTATCTCGGTACCTATTTGTTCCATCTACCCCTACCAGCCTTGCGTCTAGCATTGGCCCGGCTTCTGCAACAATTTCTGTGTCTTTTTAGCTTCCGTAATCACCGCTTGATGGCCCTTGAAACCGCCATCCTTGGTTTCGAAATTTGCATCGCGCAGTGCCTCAATAGCCTTCTTTATCTCTTCCGAGAGGCCGTTGGCTCTTCGGAGTGCGGTCGTCTTCTGCATCCCATCATTGAGTTTGTTCGCCTCGTCTCTCATTTTTTGGGCTGTCTCTTTTGTGTCGTAAGCCTTGTATACAAAGCCATCCGAGGTCGTCCGCGAGGTAATCACCAGCTTCACCCCGCTTAGTTTTGACTTGAGATTCCGGAGGAAGAATTTCATATTGTCCGCGACGCGATGCTCCACGATGAGCTTGAGCGCATCTGCCATCCTTCTCTTCTCCGCCGCGAAATCGCCCGTGTTCAGGTGAGGCCCGATCGCCTCGTTGATCTTTTTGAACACGTTACTGAACTTTGGCTTAGGCTTCTGGTCGCCGGGCTTCTTATCCCCAGGCTTCTTGTTCCCGGTCTCGTCGCCGGGCGTCTCGTCGCCCGGTGTTTTTCCCCCGGGTGTCTCGTCCTCGGGCACGATGCCCTCGATAAGAGCGGGGAGATCGTAATCCACCTTGAAGCCCGTCTCCCTCAGTCTTCGGGAGGTTGTAGTGACGTCGGTTCCATCGGCCTCCGCGATGATTCTCATCTGGTCATCCGTCAGGGCGAAAAAGCTCTCCTCGCCCACAATATGCTCTACGAATTTCGTGAAGCTGCAGGGCTTTGGTTCATCCGTGCACCTCTTGGCAATGATGCGGTCTTCGGGTTCCTTCGTCTGGAATTCCACCAGGTAGGCTTCGTAAAAGTAGAGTGTCTCGGCGGGTTGAGATTCCTTCAGGCCTAGGGCAGCGCCCCAGAGCCAGACAAGAGAGAGAAGGAAGAAACGAACGTATTTCATGGTTGGAGCTAAATATTGAGGTTGGAATGGTCACCAGAGGACGAAGAATCCCCTTTAGAAGCAATGATGGATAATTTGGACTTAAAGCGAACAACAAAGGAAATCAGCAGATATCCATATCTTGCAGCGTACACCTAGCTTTATACCAGAGCTATTGTGCATAAATGCGACAGACTTACCACCGCCGCCGCCGCATAGCGCAGTTCTACGTGTGTCATGGTAGTTTACGACTCTTTACTAGCGTTGGCGGTCTTTCCCTCTGCGACGTTACAGCGCAGGGCTATCGCGATTAGGTAAAGAAAACTGGCCTCCAGGCCGCAGTCGGCTGGTTCGCCAACACGCTGGAGCTAGCGTGTTGTTATACTGAAATCCAGTGGATACGTTGCCGCAACGTATCCATTTTTTGGGTGTGCTAGGGTATGTACACCCAGTTTTTACTAAGGGTGGCAACAAAAGCTTGGCGGCGTGGCAACAGTAAGGTTATGTAACCTTAAAGTAATATATACYTAAAATACGCTATATATCCAGCCTAAGTGGTAGATTGGCTTAAAATACCGTAATATTACACTATTTTTACCATAGCCAAGAATTTCCACATACTTTACTCCTAATTCCAGCGTATCATGGCTGGGTGTTCATACTCTAGCATGTTGGCGAACCAGCCGACTGCGGGATGGCTTGGAGATAGCAAAGCATCGGTACGCTAAGGTGCATGCTCCATACAGCAATCAATAATAATGTCGGTACGGCCCCTCCTCGGCCGAACTCCTAGTACCATATGCTCCGAGTCCGACTGCCTAGAAACCGTGGGGCTTTTGAAGTCATTCCATAATCTGGCCGGCTGCACGCTCATGCCATCCAGGGATCAGATCGATAAACAGATGGCAAAGGAGTCCCTCTGGAGCACTGTACGCCACCACAGACGAGGTAGGAATTAAAAGGACGGGTTTGTCTTTTCCGAACTTAGAATATCTTCCATATGGAAGAGCGGGCATGCAGCATCATCAGCGGTCGTCCTCAGGCGGATTGTGCCGACACCTGAATGACAAATGCCCTTACCCACTTAAGGAGCCTGTGTCCTAGTTGTTGGCGCTCTCCTCGAGAACTTAACAAGCGCCGTCCCGGTGGAAGTTTGTGGTATAGCCCTACTGCCCTAATTATGCGTGGGTCATCGACTCATGCCGGCGTTCACCCCGTGCCTGAATATCAATGCGTGGGCCGAGCTATCAACCAACCCTGAGCACCTTCTGCGATAGGCTTAGCCACCAACAGGCCCACGGTACCTTATACCGACTATCGAATCTATCGGCCATAGAGCCACAACGCTTACAGCGTATCCCTCCTGAGTACATACATAGTTGCGTACTTACATAGTAGGCTTAGCAGTCGATGAATCAATGATCCACCGGCCCGCCTAGCCGCTCACCGGACACTTGAAAACTCTGCAACCGAGATCCACCCCTGGCCTATGTAGATTTTATGGACGAACTCCTACTCCTAGACTCAGCCTACCGTTGGTGAAAAGTGGGATCTCTTCTCCGTATCTGTCCTTCCCTAGCGCTACCAACTTACCCAGGCAGCAGGCTACACGGACCCCCTATCTAGCCTCAACTTGGCACCTTGCTATTCTGACAATTCGCTGTGCGAACGAGTTCTTCAACATTAAACAACTCGCATTAGTTTTCCTTGGCTAGATTGTCGATCGCTCTTGTCGCCTTCGCTGAACTCTTGGCTTATTATTTCAGCCTTTCAGGATCGGTCTTGGACTCTTGGTGGCGGAGTGAAACTGTGGATCCCTGAGCTTAGCCCTCCCAGGGGCTGGTCTTGTTCCACCGACGTTTCCCACCGCTCCCGAGAGCCACTATTCCTAGTAAAGTTTTTGTTTTAATTTATATAGTATTATATATATAAACTATAATAACTTTTTTATTAAGGCCTTAGGCCTTTAGAAAGCGGGCTTATATTTTTTTATTTAAAGTTTTTAGTATAACACGTGGCCTATTAGCTTAATAGTTATGTGTAAGCCCGATAAAAAAATAAGCTAGATACTAATATTAAATAACTTATTATAGGCCTTTTTAGGCCTTAATAAAACCTATATAAACTAGTAAGCTACTAAGGGCTTATTTTTTATTAGTAAAAAGTAAAATTCTTATTCCCCGGGGTTCCTAGGAGCTTTAGATAGGCTAAAATAATATTTTTTTTAATATTTTTTAAAACCTAAAGGTTCCTGGTTTAAACCTGGCTTAGGTTATATATATTTTTTTTTAATAAGGTGGGATTAGCTATAAGTAATAATATAATTAATTATTACTTTTTAATTAAGCTAGCTTAGTAATAAAATACTCTGCGGGCGTGTAGTGCTTTAAATTTTAACTTTTTATATAAAATTTAGTGTTTAAACTGCAGGCTAAACATGCGTAAGTTTTTAATATTTAAACTAGCTAAATATTAACTAATAAAAAGTTTTTATTTAAAATATATTTTATAATGCCAAGGCTGCCCTTATTACCCCGCAAGCTATGTATTTTTTTAAATAAATTACCCCCTTAAATAGTTAAAATTTACTAAGTTTAACTTTTTAAGGTTAATTAAAAGCGCCTATACTAGGAAGATTAAGAACGCGTAGTAGTATAGGTACTTAGCTTTTTATATAATTTTATATATAAATTAAAGTACTAGTACTTGTGCATGCTTAAATATTAAACTTAGTGTTAAACTTAGTGTTAAACTTAGTATTTTTAAAGGCCTATACTAGGGAAATTAAGAGCGTGTATACTAGGAAGATTAAAAGCACGTAGTAATATAAGTACTTAGTTTTTTATATAATTTTATATATAAATTAAAGTACTAGTACTTTGCATGCCTGGATATTAAATATTAAACTTGGTGTTAAGCTTGGTATTAAACTTAAAGTTAAACTTAAAGTTTTACTTAGTGTACTAGTACTTAGGTTTTTATAAGAAATTATATATAAATTAAAGTTAAAAAATACTATTTTAACTTTATTTTATAAAGCTATTTAAAGGTTTAAATATACTTTAAGTTTTTATTACCTAAGTTAAGTTATTTAATCTTTTTTTATAACTAGGTATTTAGCTATAATTATAAGGCCTATAAAAAATAATTTTTTAGATTCTTGGGTTTTTTATAGCATAATGGTTTAGTAATATTATTTAATAAGGTTATTTAATTTTAAATAGCCTTATTATAAACCTTTGCAGGCTAGATTTTGGCCTTGCTTTTTAAAAAGTAGTATTTTTATATTAGTTTTTTTAAAACTTTTTAAATTTAAAGCTTTTAATTGCGACAAGGCTGTATATTATTTTTAAAAACTTAAGTAATACCTTGCTTTTTTATTTTTTTATATTACTTAAAGCCCTTTATTTTTTAAAAGTTAGTAAAGTAATCCCATGTTTCTGGTGTTAATATATTACCATGTATTTTTTTATAGTAAAAAAATAATAGTAAGGTAGCTCCTATTTTTAAAAAAAAATATATTTATAAAATAATTTATTTTTAATGCTATACTTAAGGTTATTTAAATCCTTATCTCTCTTTATCTTGCTGTGCAAAAGTTATTATATAGAAAATAGGAACTACCTAAGAATTAGCTAATTTTAAAAGTTTATAATATTCTTGTTATAAAATATATTTTTTTTTTATAAAGTTTTTTTAGGCCTTTTTAGTGGTTTTAAGAGCTTGATTTACTGTCACACCCACGGGTGCCAAGCCCTAATAAGATAAGGAAACTAATAAAATAAAAGTCATGGTAATATTAACCTAACACGCAATAATAATATTACTACCATTTTAATAGTATATTTAAGGCTAACACCCTAGCAAAAAATAATTAATTAAAAGTTAGTTTTTATATATCCTAGGCCTTAAAATTTAATATTAATCCCTTATTAAATAGCCTTTTAGTACTTTGTTTTATACCTGGTTAGCTTACTTAAGGTTTTTATAATTTTAACTTTTTTACTTATTAACTATTTATAAAACATGTACTATGCCGCTAGTATACTCATGCCTTATTTTTAAATAGGACTATTTTAATAATCTTAAAAAAAAACCTTTTAATACTTAATAATCTCCTATTATTAAAACTATTAAAAGTACTATTATAAAAAACTATTAAAATACTCGCGAAACGCTAGTAACCCAATAATTATAAAATATAAAAAAATATATTAAATATTTAAAAAATTAATTAGCTAAATATAATATACCTTTAAAGTAATATTAATATTAAAATAATTTGCTAGAGAATTATAGTAGGATTAAAAATAAAAATATACCTAAGTATAATTTTAATTTTAGCCTGTAGTAACGCCTTAACTAGCTTGGTACTTTAAAATTAAACTTTAAAAAAGTACCTAAAAAATATAAATTAAATTAATAGTAAATCCTAAAAGCTTTAACTATAATAAAATTAGCATGTAAAAGTAATTAAATTTAACATGCTAATAAATTAAAGGGTATAAATAAAAAATACCAAGAATTTTTTTAAGAATATTTTAAAAAATAAATAGCCATAATCCTAAAAAGTTTAATAACTAGTTTACTAAATACTATAGTTAAACTAAAGTTAGCTTGTTAAAAAAAAAACCAAGATCCTAGGGACTTTGCTAATTATTTAGCTATATTAAAATAATATTTTTTAAGAAATAATAAAAAAATATAGATTTAATATTATTTTAGCAAGCTTTTACCTTTACTTTAAAATAAAATTTATAATCTTAATAATACAGAACTCCTAAATATTAAAAAGTATTTAGTTTAACTTATTTTATAATATTAGTTTTATATATTGCATTTGCAACCTTGCATTACCTTATATTATAATAAATAATTAAAACCCGCTAAATAAGAAAAAAATATTACTAATTTAAAAAAAATTAACATGGATTTACCCGTGGTAAAAAAACCTAAAAAAAAAATTATTTTATAAAATAAACTTTTAAAAAAAGTTATAATAAAATACCTGCGGGATAAGC